CTGGACATTTTTTGAGAAGTCACAAATCTGCGAAAATTAATAGCCGCAAAAATTCAACGGACCTGAAAATTAGCAAAAATGATAGCCGCGAAACTTCAAAAACGTTGTAGTTATTAACTACAACGTTTTTATTTGCGCAATAATGTGTTATTCGAAAACGATCACAAAACATTAAAAAAAATAATACTTAGGCCTAGGCTAAAAACATTAGATGAAATGATGAAATTAAGATGACAATAATTTAAGTCACAATAAAAACGCACTTAACATTGATGTCTATAAAACCGGTTTAGTACGGCAATAGCAAGTCCAGAAGGCCCCTGAAGTTAATAATTCATTCCTAAAGCGGAAACTTAGTTGGTCTGGAACACAAGGCAGGACATTTTATGAGTGACGGTCTTGCCAATTTGTTTGCTTGTCTCTATTTTCAATAATTAAACGTTATTGAAAACAAAAAATAGAACAAAATGGCTAAAAATTGCAAAAAACACATTGAAGTCAATTAATGTCAATTATGTCTTACCCTGATCACGCAATACAACATAACGTACAGATTTACTGACTGAAATCATGTATCGATTGAGACGCATGCATTAATCAAATTTGATTCTGGTTGCAATACATATAGAGGCCTTATGCTTATATAATTGTAATACGTGTAGTTAACAGTTTGCGCAAAGTTGCATATGAAAATCGGTGATTTCAGAGGTTTTTTCTTGAGAAGAAGCGAATGAAAAGTTTCCAAGATGTTAATACAGACTCATCAAGCGAAATATCTTTTACTTATTTTAATTCTATACATCATTGGATTTCTGATATACATGGTACATGATCTAAGATACACTGATTTAATAGATGGATATAATCTATTCCATAAACATGATAAAGCAGATCCTCAACATGAACGCTACATGGTTTACGAATGCAGCGAGCAGGTTTCATTTTACATTCTTCTTGACAAGTAATTAGACAAACGAGAAGGATCTGTTTGGTGTTTCAAGTTCAATATGTCTTTTTAACGTATGAAGACACGGGATATGATGAAATTAAAATGTATATTATAATGTTCAACAGATTTAGTTATAATTTGTAACTTAGAATTTATAAATCGAATTGATCTTTGCTTTGATGTTCAAGTATTTATAATTTGAAATTCACTTTTAATTATCTCAAAAAAGAGAATTAATTTAACTAGATTTGTGAAATTGAACAAGTTCAATTTAAGACTCCAGATTTATTTGACCTAGATAGATCAGTAAAGAGCTGAGTAAGTAACTGAGTAATTAGCTGAGTAAGTACCTAAGTAGTAGTTGAGTAAGTAGCTGAGTAAGTAACTGGGTAAAAAGCTGAGTAGGTAGCTGAGTAAGTAGCTGAGTAAGTACCTGAGTTAGTAGCTGAGTAAGTAGCTAAGTAAGTAATTACTAATTAAGCAATTGAGTAAGTAGTCAAATAAGTAGCTGAGTAGGTAGGGAGGTAAAGTAGGGTATGTAGGAATTCTTGAAAGTTTATTTGATCAATCTGCATCGTGAATACAGGCAAGTGCGAATTTCAAACTTCAAAATGGCTTAGAATCTTAACCTGGGGTCGGATTGCAATTTTAATTTCAGATCCGGATTCCTTAGGAAGTTCTACCCCTAATTCATAACTCATACGTTAAATTTGGAGAACTTTTTATTTTGACCTACATTTCGATCACCATATCTCAAAAGTGGGTCAAAAAACTTCTTGACGGCAAAAGTTAACATTATGAGCATACTCTTTGCTACATGTATACAAAATTTCGTAGAATATCATTGAAGTGTAGTGTCCGAATTGCAAAAATAAGAAAAAACTAAGAATTTGACCTAGATTTTGAACTAGGTATTTTGGTGTCCAAATTTTGAAGGAAAGTAGCTTTTGAGGTCCCCTTCTTTTATTGGCTTTCATTATGTTTAGCTGTACTCATTCTATATCTCGTATTTTAACACTTCAAAAAATTATTCGGTCCCATTGATCCCATGGGGCACCAAATTTACCGATTTTTGAGATTTCAAAACGCCATAACTTCGGAACAAGAAGTCGGATCGAAATTTGGTTTGCAGATATGGATTCCTGAGAAAATTCTACTCTTAATTCATAACTCACACATTAAATTTTGAAAGTTTTTAATTTTGACCTACTTTTCGGACACCATATCTCAAAAGTGGGTCAAAATACTTTCTGACGGCAAAAGGCTAACACTATTAGCATACTCTTTGCTACCTGTATACAAAATTTTAAAGCAAATCATTTGAATATAGTGTCAGAATCGCAAAAATAAGGAAAAACTATGAATTTGACCTAGATTTTAACCTAGGGATTTTGGTGTCCAAATTTTCAAGCTAAGTAGCGTTCGAGGTCCCCTTCTTTAATACGCTTTCATTATATTAAGCTGTACTCAGTCTATATCTCGTATTTTACACTTCAAAAAAATCTTTTTTCCCATTGACATAACATGGGGCAGCAAATTTAGTGATTTTTGAGCTTTCAAAACGCCATAACTTCCAAACAGGAAGTCGAATCGAAATTTGGTTTGCAGATTCGGATTCCTGATAAAATTCTACCCCTAATTCATAACTCATACGTTAAATTTGAAGATTTTTTTATTTTGACCTACATTTGGGACACCATATCTCAAAAGTGGGTCAAAATACTTTCTGACGGCAAAAGGCTAACACTATTAGCACACTCTTGGCTACATATATACAAAATTTCGAAGAATATAATTAAAGTGTAGTGTCAGAATCGCAAAAATAAGGAAAAACTTTGAATTTGACCTAGATTTTGACCTAGGCATTTTGGTGTCCAAATTTTCAAGCTAGATGGCTTTTGAGGTCCCCTCCTTTTAAAAGCTTTCATTATATTTAGCTGAACTCAGTCTATATTTCGTATTTTTCACTTCAAAAAAATCTTTTTTCCCATTGACTTAACATGGGCACCAAATTTAGCGATTTTGAGCTTTCAAAACGCCATAACTTCCGAACGGGAAGTCGGATCAAAATTTGGTTTGCAGAATCGGATTCCTGAGAAAATTCTACTCTTATTTCATAGCTCATATGCTAAATTTGGAGAACCTTTTGGTTTTGACCTACTTTCAGGACGCCATATCTCAAAATCGCTAAGAGTAATCAAAAAACGGATGGCACACTCTAGATTTGTTTTTTTCTAAGCTACATGTTGAAACTAAGATGAAGTAGTTACGACAAACAACAACGAAGATAATTGACAGAATGTTGATTTGACCTTGATTTGACCTAGTTCTTGACCTTTGACCTAGATAAAAATTTGACCTAATTTCCCATGAACCCAGGTACTTTCCCTAGTTGATCATGTAAGCAGCTTAAAGTAAACTCTTCTAGTTAGTGAGAAATCTGGGAAGGAGGAAGATTCTGAAAGAATAATAATAAAAAGAAAACTGGCAAAAGCAATAGACTCCAGATTTCATCTGGAGTCTAATAATAAATGAACTGAAAAAAATTGACTAGACCGAGCTAGAGCCAGCTTTGTTTCAGAGAAACACTATTTTATACGCTTGGTGATTTTATTATAATTCAACGATGGAAAATGGCATTAGATCTACTATCATAGAAAATATAAAAGACCCGCGTACGGCTCTGTGCTCACACAGGTGTAGAACCTTTAGATGAATGTACATCCTGACTTTCAACCAGAAATATTAATTCGTATTTTGAGAAATTTGAGAAACTTAGATAGCCCATTTTGTGACCTAGTTTGATGACATTGACCTTGAAAATTTTACTTTTTCAGATAAAGCTAACACCCCAGACACATTTGTCGTACGGAGGCCGTGCGTCGACCGCAGATCAATTAAATCAGTGTATTTCTGCGGCGAGCGTATAGGAAAACTACGCTCGCCTTGCGGCCTCCGTACGGCGTATCCAGTTTTTTACAGGCCGCAGGGTCGCCGTAGAAATTATAACTCGGAGTTATAATATTTGTTCATTTCTGAGGTCCCCGTAGAAATCAACTGGCTCAACAAGATTGAATCATTATTTGTCAATGTTTCACGATCACTTCATTTGATATTACATCCTAACACTATGAATAACATTTATAAATTGTCCCGATGTAAATAAAATGAAAAACGTATTATTTATCAACAGAAATTTAAAATTCGCCGTGCGGCTGCCGTGGAAAATGTGACTGCAAAAGTATGAGAGCGCAGAAATTCCACGGCGAGCGTGGAAATGTTACTGGCCGCAGAAATGATAGACCGCAAGGTCGCCGTAGGAAATGTGACTGGGGTGTAACGAAAATTTGAATCAAAAAAATCTTACCCAAAACTTTTTGGCCAACTTTGGATTAGTGGGAACGCGTAGATGATTTTTAAATAATTTGGTCTTGTACCGTTTTTGACGTCAAATATCTCATTTTATTCGCCGTGTATTCTTTCTGTTATTCTAAATGGGTCTTTTCAGGCACGTGCATGTGGAGGCCTAGGAGACAGAATCAAAGGAATAACAATAACGTACATCTGGGCATTACTGACCAATCGAAGTTTCATCATACGTCATTCAGTACCATGTGACCTGGAGAAGTTCCTCATCCCAAATAAAATACAATGGAACGTCCAACTCCCAGTAGATGTTAAAGAACAACGAATGGCAGTCAGGTCCCCAGCCATGGTCAAAGGTTACAAAACTGAGGACCTTATACCAGATGACGAACATATCAGAGAAAAATATAAGGATTACGACAGAATTGCATTTTTAGGACCTAACACTATTGGTCACTTCTCCCGATTTTCAAAATTACCAATATATAAAGCCCAGCTGAAACAATTTCCATTTCAAATTGGCACAAATAAATGTTCCATGTATAAAACTGTTTTTGAAAGGCTATTCAAGTTAACTCCAAGATTAGAAAAGAAATTTCAAAAATTAGCAGCTAAGGCCAAGCCAACTAAGGATCATAAGCTAATATGTGCTCAAATTAGAACTGGGCCAAATCCATCAATACCACGCGACACTGGTGGAACGCGAACAGCTAAAAAGGATATCGTAAAATTTTGGTCGTTCTTAAAATCAAACATTACACGCAACAAAACAACAGTTTTTGTCACAGGCGATTCAGCCGAAATCCAAAAAACAGCGAGGGATACATTTGGTCAATTTTTTATGGAAGTAGAGGGCGAGATTACACACACTTCAAGGAGCAAATTCGATAAGGCCTGCTCAGGTATGGACAAAGTTATTTTAGATTTTCATATGCTCGCGTTGTGTGATGTTGCCATGGTGAGTCGGAGTGGTTTCGGCTGGTTAAGCCAATGTATGAATAAGAACAAAGATGCCATCGTATACAGGATGAATAACGCTGGAGATGTTTATCTCTGGGATAACAGATAAGAACAATGTATTTAAACATACTTACAAAATGTCAGTATGTAATGTGTAGACAAGCGGGTATTGACTCTAAAGACTTCCATTTGCAGATTCTGCCTAAAATGTTGAACGCCAATCACAAAAATGGTGGCTATTTGGGTAACCAAGAACTGTTTCTCCAACATATACAGACACATTTTGCATATTTAGATATGCATATCACTTAAATTTTTTAAATATTTACAAATACACACATATGGCGATACCAGGGGCCTATGTGACATAGCTTCGAATATTTGGATTGTCTAAGAACAGGTGTGAAAGAAATTATGGTCCCCAGGGATTATGGTCCCCCTTCTTAACGGCCCTTACTGGCCCTAATTGTGTATAAGATAATAAGGGAAAGAGGTCACCATATAAATCAATGGAGATTGAAATGGTTTATCAACTTTGAAAGTTTAATTATTTTTGAAAATGTGACTTCTAGTTCATGTAGTTCGGGTTGATTCCCAATATACCCCATGTTATAAAACGTCACCTAAGGTGAAATATCTTTTTTTTGTATTGGACAGATAACATTTTCTTTTACTGGACATATTTTAATTTGCATTACTATTATTAAATACACCCATACTCTTTTCCCAGTTTGATTTTCGATGGAAGTTGTAAGATTTTCAGAAATTGCATGTTTTATAAACTCCTGGTCCAACCTAACCCACTTTTTAAATGAAACCAATCCTCGATCCGATTCATATTTTAGTGCTTACCGAGGCTACACTCTTAAAAATGAATTACTTGAGTATTTCCCAAGTATTTCCCAAGTATAAAAATTACTTAAAGTTAAATACTTAGTTTTACTTCATTTTACTTAGGTTTAACTTATATTGTCATTTTGAGTTTTTTAATTGCTTAATTATGTAAATGAGTATTACAATTACTACAGTAAATATTTCAATTTCTCTCCTTGCATTAGTAAATTCACCATAAATGAATTACTTAAAAATTACTTAAAATTTATTCAGTAGTTCAAGCTTAAGTAATTTTTGACTTAAAATGAGTAGTACAGTTTCTCAATATAAGGAAATCCAAGTAATAATTTTAAGAGTGTAGTTTTAATTTTATGGATTACATCTGGTTTATCTAGCAAATATTAGTTAATATTGTGAAATAATTCACCAGCATCTCACGTTTACATATTGAAAGTCAAAATAATTGTCTGTTTTACATAATACTTAGTCAAGCGATTTATAACATTTATAAAGCAACAGATAGCTGGATATATAGTGATGTATGCAACTCTAGTTTCCTGCATTTTCGAATTCTAAAATGAAGTTTCATCATTCGTACAGTCAGAGACATATACATCTATATGTCTCTGGTACAGTGTACATACTATGATATAAATTTGGTGAACCTTTACAAAAGATTAATACATACATTGGTCACCAAGGCCCCTATCTAATAATATTAAAAAAATATATACATTATTTACCAAGGCCCCTATCTTGTAATTATTAAACCACGCATTCAGAACTATACGTAATTATTTGTCATCATCATATAGATATAAATGTGGGGTATACATCTATAGTAGTGAAATAAAATTATTTACGTTATGGTTTAACAGTAAATATTTTACCTATTGAACTGATTTGTTCGTAGTAGCGAGATGTAACAACATCTTAACACAGTGTTCAACAGACGGCAATAGTCATACGCGCAATAAGCATAATCAACTGATAATTTCATTGGGATAATCATATGCACTGATTAAGATAGGAAGATTTGTCTGTTATTGAGGATCATCTCGAAACCAATATAACCCCTCCTCCTCTCTGCTCTTTGGTTTACGCCCATTTGATTGATTCGAGAAATAACAATGGTCCATGTTTGACAATTTTATGTAACAAAGCGTGTGAGTGGTAAAGTTCTATACAAAAATATATTTTTCAGATGTTTCGACTAAAACTTGAAGTGAAGTTTAAAGATTTGCCCGATCTTATATTTTTGCCTCGCTAATGCCTTGGTCACATTGCTCCGATTTTCACTACGGCGCCCGGCCGATTGAGTATTTTTGCCTTTCCAAGTCCACGTGATCAGTGGTTGACTGTAGCGTTCTACTAAAATGTATGAATGGATACAAAATTAAAGAAGGAGAATAAAACTGAAAACTAAGAATCCAATGACAACAGTAACTTTACAAGGTCGTGATGAAAGCGTGTTTAACCATTTACCATGATGAAAATCATGGGGTTTCAATTTCTATTGAATGCATGGGCAATGCCCATGTGAAAATGCACACAAAAACATAACATCGTCAGTCTTTATTTTTACTCGTCTAACCTTGATCACACAATATATTCAACATAACATACATATTTACTGACTGAAATCATGTATCGATTGAGACGCATGTATTAATCAAATTTGATTCTGGTTAAAATACATATAGAGGCCTTATGCTTACACGTACGTATGAATGTATACGGGAGAGATTAAAGTAGTCTTACTATAATTGTAATACGTGTAGTTAACAGTTTGCGCAAAGTTGCTGCATATGAAAATCAGTGATTTCAGAGGATTTTTCTTGAAAAGAAGCGAATGAAAAATTTCCAAGATGTTTATACAGACTCATCAAGCGAAATATCTTTTACTTATTTTAACTCTATACATTATTGGATTTCTGATATACATGGTACAAGATCTGAGATACACTGATTTAATAGAGGGATATCTATTCCATAAAGCAGATCCTCAACATCAACGCTACATGGTTTACGAATGCAGCCAACAGGTTTCATTTTACATTCTTCTTTGACAAGTAATTAAACAAACTAAAAGAATCTGTTTGGTGTTTCAAATTCAATATGTGTTTTAACATATGAAGACATGATATGTATTTAATGAAATTAAAATGTATACAAAGAAGTTATTCACCAGGAGATACATGTATGGGAAATATCACAAGGATGATATTAATATTTCCAGAGGGAACGCAGTGACAGAGGGAAATATTGATATCAACCGAGGGATATTCGTCATATCATCCCGACAGGAAAATAACAAATTTATACCATGTTTAAGAGCAATATCTACCTCAAATCCCCTGTTTAATGATAGAAAAATTCTGTAAAAATGATATACCGGGTATACCATGATGTTGCTCTGACTATGGTATAATAGAATTCACCAAATCGACCATGGTATAATAGAATTCACCAAATCGAATTATTGATCTTTGCTTTGATGTTCGAGATATTATTTATGATTGAAATTCACTTAGTACTGTCACTTTAAACTGTCATCTCAAAACAACTCTTCTCACAAGAGAATTAATTAATGTAATAAATGAACTGGAAAAAATTGACTAGACCGAGCGAGCTAGAGGAACTTTTTGTTTCAAAGAAACACTATTTCACGCATTCTGATACTCAAAGCATCTTTCTGTTTCACCTGAAACAGGGCTGAGAAGATTTGATATGTCATGGTTTATCATGATATATTTCATGCACTTGGTGATTCTATTATAATTCAATGCAACAAACAATATGGATGATGACATTAGAGAATAAATATAATAGAAAATAAAACATGTATAAAACATTTTGGAGCAAGATTCTGCCACTTGAAAAGGTTTTATTCTATGATCTCCGAAAAGATACTTGAATAGCAAGGGAATGTGTAAAATGTGATAATAATACAAGATCAGAAACAGTTTGCAAATCACCCTTTGATGATATTCATTATGGCAATCTATCGTGTCAATTCCAAATTATACATTGAATTAAAATAAATTTCATATGAAGTATCGATTATCATAATCTAGGCTAGTGTTGGATAGTTCATCATTTTCAATATTATTTGCAAGCGCATGGACCTGACACACAGTGAAATCTATGGCACATAACTCTATTGACACATACATCTATCTATCATGTCTATTGGGCCACTTTCCACATACAGGGTGTTCCAAAAGTAGCAGGACTGGTGCTGGCATTTTGTCAATTCTGCACCGAGTGTGTTCCAATTTTCACAAATTGTACTTTGACGTAGTGCAACTAAAATTGATAAGTTTCAGAAAAAATGATAAAATGCGGGTAACGTTATGGTTACTATAGTAACGTAGTATTCATTTAAGGCTGATTTGCTCAAATAACAGTATATATAGTAAATGAAAGATAAATTGTTGTTTTTGAAGTATCTAAAGTGGTGAATATTGTCATGGATTGCGATGAGATATTGACAAAAGTATTATACCTTCATAACTACAATGAAAGCAATTTTGTAAAATCTTTAGTTTTCCCCAAATAAAGTTTACACCTTGGGGAACTAAAAGAGTATGATTAAGCAAAATAGAATTGATTCGTTGAATAATATTTACAAAGGAGCTCCAAGGCTCTTCGTCATTCATTTTTAAAATTTAGACTAATAATTGTTTCACGATAGAAAAAGGTAGACTTCATAACATTGAATACTGGCCATGTTCACGGTGAGCAACCATACCGCACCGGGATCGACCCCGGTGCGTTACACTTAAATTGTAACGCTCCGGAGGATTTTGACCATTCTCTCCACTGTGACAAAGGGATCAGGCACACACAATTTCATCGGGACTAACAATAATTATTGGCCAGATGAAAAATATTTGTAATTTTGATGTAATTCGTGAGCCCAGTCACACGTGCATTTTGTTCGTCGTGTATTCTTTCTGTTATTCTAAATGTGGCTTTTTCAGGCACGTAAATGTGGAGGCCTAGGAGATAGAATCAAAGGAATTACAATAACGTACATCTGGGCATTACTGACCAATCGAAGTTTCATCATACGTCATTCAGTACCATGTGACCTGGAAAGGTTTCTCATCCCAAATAAAATACAATGGAACGTCCAACTCCCGGAAGATGCCAAAGAACAACGGATGGCACCCAGGTCCCCGGTCACGGTCAAAAGTTACAAAACTGAGGACCTTATACCAGATGACGAACATATCAGAGAAAAATATAAGAATTACGACAGAATTGCATTTTTAGGACCAAACACTATTGATCACTTCTCCAGATTTTCAGAATTACCAATATATAAAGCCCAGCTGAAACAATTTCCATTTCAAATTGGCGAAAAGAAATGTTCCATGTATAAAACTGTTTTTGAAAAGCTATTCAAATTAAATCCAAGATTAGAAAAGAAATTTCAAAAATTAGCAGCTAAAGCCAAGCCCACTAAGGATCATAAACTAATATGTGCTCAAATTAGAACTGGGCCAAATCCATCAATACCAAACGACACTGGTGGAACTCGAACAGCTAAAAATGATATTGTAAAATTTTGGTCATTCCTAAAATCAAACATTATACGCAACAAAACAACAGTTTTTGTCACAGGCGATTCGGACGAAGTCCAAAAAACAGCAAGGGATACATTTGGTCAAATTTTTATGGAAGTAGAAGGGGAAATTACACATACTTCAAGGAGCAAATTCGATAAGGCCTGCTCAGGTATGGACAAAGTTATTTTAGATTTTCATATGCTCGCGTTGTGTGATGTTGCCATGGTGAGTAGGAGTGGTTTCGGCTGGTTAACCCAATGTATGAATAAGAACAAAGATGCCATCGTTTACAGGATGAATAACACTGGAGATGTTCATATTTGGGATGACAGATGAGAACAAGTAGTACTAACCCAAAATTTCGAAAATGGCCCTCGTTAAGAACGAGTTTAAAGGTAGATTACGCTTTTCTCACCGGACAATCAGTGATGTCCCATTATAATTGCATAAATGATATCTTAGATAACTTAATATATCTTAAGACCAGATTATCATATGGATATAGTGTTTCAGTTATATTGAGAAAATTAACAGAAGACCAAACTGTCAGAATTGAACACACATACAGTGTACATTGAGTTTGATCGCGGTAATCGAGGGAAAAGCCTTTCAAGAGCCAGGCATGCCAATCAGATTGAAACCCGGTTGTCAATTTTTTTAGACACCCAATAGGTCGAAGGTTGAAGTTTTTAAGAGCATTCCCGACATTGGGCTTGCTTTTTAGAACTTTTTGTTGGCTCAAGAGGTATTTTACTCTAAGAGCGAGGAGGAAATTTCTTAATAAGTGGAGTATAGTTGGTTTGGCAGCATTTTCAGTTAGAGGGAAGTCTTGGATGAAAATTCTACCTAGGTGATAGCATCACAGAGTGGTACATAATTCTTTTTTTTCAGGGGTTAGCCCCCCACCCCCCAAAAACACCCCTACCCCGGAAAATAATTTTTTCATCTTCAATAATTTTAGATATCTTGATGTTTTTAAGTTACATACATAGACATTATATATATGAATCATTTGCAAAATAAATAATGCCAATCACTCCTACAGAATTTGAAAAATAGTAAAAAGTATGTACCCCAGGGGGCAAATTCGTGACCCATTTTTTTACTATTTAGAGCCTCACTTTTCAATCAGACACTGGAAGACATTGAAAAATTTCATGTGAAGTGCCCAGTAGCACGGCTATAAGCCCTGAAAGGTTCAAACTAATTGAATTAGTAGGAGCCGAGAAAAAAATTGTTGATTTTTTGAAAAATTTGACATTTTTGAGAGGGGTGATTTTGTGTATGACTATAGCTGATGCCTATGGTTTCCAGATCTATCCCTCTTTGATGATAAATATGGTTTTGAAGTATGGAACTAAGATGTAAAAAATAATTAAAATGGGTTTTAAGGAAGTTTCATGTTTTAAACAAGTTCAAAATTCCAAGAATTGTACAATATCAGGTCTGAATTTACAAATTTTAGGTAAGACCTTGGATGAGCCTTAGATTTTTTACATCTGTCCCCCTTTGATGATATTTATGGCTTTGTTGTGTGGAACTAAGATGTACAAAATAATTTAGATGGTTTTTAAGAAGGTTTAAGGATTTTAACAAGTTCAAATTTGAAGAATTGTACAATATCAGGTCTGAATTTACGAATTTCAGGAAAGACCTTTGGTGAGCCATATATTTTTCACATCTGTCCCTCTTAGATGATATTTATGGTTTTGTAGTGTGAAACTAATATGTAAGAAATAACCTAGATGGTGTTGAAGAAGGTTTAAGGAATTTAATGAGTCCAAAATTTGAAGAATTGTACAATATCAGGTCTGAATTTACGAATTTAAGGTATGACCTTGGATGACCCTTATGTTTTTATATCTGTCCCTCTTTAATGATATTTATGCTTTTAAAGTAATGAACTAAAATGTAAAATATAATTTAGATGAATTTTAAGAATGTTTAAAGATTTTAACAAGTTCAAAATTTGAAAAATTGTATAATATCCGGTCTGAATTTACGAAATTCAGGTAAGACCTTTGGTGAGCCATATATTGTTTACATTTGTCCCTCTTTGAAGATATGTATGGTTTTGTAGTGTAGAACTAAGATGTAAAAAAACAATTAAGATGGATTTTAAGAAGGTTTAGTGATTTTCACATGTTCAAAATCTTGGCGCATTGAACAATATTAATTCGGCAATTAACACTACATTTCAAGTATAACCTTGTTTGGCTCTAAACATTTAGAAAAAATTGTTGACATGGGGTCCCAATTTATAATTTTTCATGGGGACTTCACTTGAAAGAAAATATTTTTTAAAAAAATAAAAAAAACACTGTATTTATGCCCAGAAAGTACTCATGGAGAAATATATGACCGTCTAAAATCACTTGCCATACTGCACATGGACCTTTTTGAATATTTCTGGCTTATGTCATTCCTTTTCATGTCTATTTGCTAATAATCCCCAAAGTGCACACTTAATTTCAGGAAAACTAAAGATTTCTACAATAATGTATTATTTTTTTCTATAAGAATGGTTACCATTCTTATTATTTTGGGAGAATTTAAACATTTTTCACCCATTTTTGCTTTTTGAATCCATTATTACTTCATCAATTTTTAACACATCATGAATCTTTTTGGAGATATGTATTTGAGATTGTAAGGAATAGATTGGTACATGAATTGTACATGTTGCTTGTAATTTTGTCACACCCATAGATCTGATTCTGCCTTTAAACTTAACACATCGTGAATCTTTTTGGAGATATTGTGTTTGAGATTGTAAGGAATAGATTGGTACATGAACTGTACATGTTGCTTGTAATTTTGTCACACCCATAGATTTGATTCTGCCTTTAAACTTCCTTAAAACCCATTTAAATTATGTTTTACATCTAAGTTTCATACTACTAAACCATATATATCATCATAGAGAGATACATACCTTAAATTCGTTATATTGTACAATTTGTCAAGTTTTGAACAGGTTTAAAACGCTTAACCTCCTTAAAACCCATCTAAATTATGTTTTACATCTTAGTTTCATACTACAAAACCATATTTGTTATCATAGAGAGATATATGTAAAAAACGAATAAGGGCCATTCACAGTTATACCTATAATTAGTAAATTCCAGACCTGTTATTATACAATTCTTCAATTTTTTATATTGTTTAAACCTTAAGCTTCTTTAAAACCTGTCTAAATTTTGTTTAACATCTTAGTTCAACACTACTAAAGCATATATGTCATCAAAAAGGGATAGATGTAAAAAACATAAGGCTCACCTAAATACCCAATATTCATTAATGTCAGCTCTGATATTGTACAATTCGTCAAAATTTGAACTTGTTTAAAACCTTAAACTTGTTTAAAACCTGTCTAAATTTTGTTTTACATCTTAGTTCAACACTACTAAAGCATATATGACATCAAAAAGGGATAGATGTAAAAAACATAATACCTAAAATTCATTAATATCAGCTCTGATATTGTACAATTTGTGAAAATTTGAACTTATTTAAAACCTTAAACTTCTTTAAAACCCATCTTGATTCTTAGTTCAACACTACTAAATCATATATCATCAAAAAGGGATAGATGTAAAAAATATAAGGGCCAAGCAAGGTTATACTTTAAATTCATTTAAAAATGTTAAAATTCATTTCAGATTTGATATTGTACAATACGCCAAGATTTTGAACTTGTTTAAAATGTTAAGCTTCTTTAAAATCGATGTAAATTATGTTATACATATTTCCACACAACTAAACCAAATACATCATGAAAAGGGGATAGGTGTTAAAATCGTATGGACTAACCAAGGTTATACTTGAAATTCATTCATTACAGACCTGATATTGAACAATTCTTCAAATTAAAATCCTTAAACCTTCTTAAAATGCATCTAAATTATTTCTTACATCTTAGTTCCACACTACAAAACCATATATATCATCAAAGAGGGATAGGTGTAAAAAATATAAGGCTCATCCAAGGTCTTATTTAAAATTTGCAAATTCAGACCTGATATTGTACAATTCTTCAAATTTTGAACTTGTTATTAGAATCCTTAAACCTTCTAAAAATTCATCTAAACTATATTTTACATCTTAGTTCCATACCATAAAACTATAACTGTCATTAAAGAGGGACAGATGTAAAAAATAAAAGAGTCGTCCAAGGTCATACCTATAATTCGAAAATTCAGACCTGATATTGTATAATTCTTTAAATTTTGGACTCAAAAATCCCTAAACACTCTTCAAAACCATCTTAATCATTTTTAACATCTTAGTTCCACTTTACAAAACAATACATCATCAAAGAGTGACAAATGTAAAACATAAGAGCCATCCAAGGTCTTACCTGAAATTCGTAAATTCAGACCTGGTATTGTACAATTTTTTCAAATTTGGAACTTGTTAAAATCCTTAAATCTTTTAAAATTCATCTAAATTATATTTTACATCTTAGTTTCACACTATAAAACCATAAATATCATCAAAGAGGAACAAATGTAAAAAACAAAAGGGTCGTCCAAGGTCATACCTGAAATTCGAAAATTCAGACCTGATATTGTACAATTCTTCAAATTTTGGACTCATTGAAATCCCTAAACACTCTTCAAAACCATCTAAACCATTTTTACATCTTAGTTCCACACTACAAAACAATACATATCATCAAAGAGTGACAGATGTAAAAACATAAGAGCCATCCAAGGTCTTACCTGAAATTTGTAAATTCAGACCTGATATTGTACAATTCTTCAAATTTTGAACCAGTTAAAAATCCTTAAACCTTCTTAGAATTCATCTAGATTATATTTTACATCTTAGTTCCACACTATAAAACCATAAATACCATCAAAGAGGGAAGGATTTAAAAGACATAAGGGTCATCCAAGGTCATACCTGAAATTCATAAATTCAGACCTGATATTGTACAATTCTTCAAATTTTGGACTCATTTAAAATCCTTAAACTTTCTTCAAATCAATCTTAATTATTTTTTACTAATTAGTTTCACACTACAAAACCATACATATCATCCAAGAGGGACAAATGTAAAAAATATAAGGCTCATCCAAGGTCTTACCTGAAATTCGTAAATTCAGACCTGATATTGTACAATTCTTCAAATTTTGAACTTGTTAAAATTCTTAAACCTTCTTAAAAACCATCTAAATTATTTTGTACATCTTAGTTCCATACTACAAAACCATAAATATCATCAAAGGGGTACAAATGTAAAAAATCTAAGGCTCATCCAAGGTCTTACCTAAAATTTGTAAATTCAGACCTGATATTGTACAATTCTTGGAATTTTGAACTTGTTTAAAACATGAAACTTCCTTAAAACCCATTTTAATTATTTTTTACATCTTAGTTCCATACTTCTAAACCATATTTATCATCAAAGAGGGATAGATCTGGAAACCATAGGCATCAGCTATAGTCATACACAAAATCACCCCTCTCAAAAATGTCAAATTTTTCAAAAAATCAACAATTATTTTCTCTGCTCCTACTTATTCAATTAGTTTGAACCTTTCAGGGCTTATAGCCCTGCTACTGGGCACTTCACATGAAATTTTTCAATGTCTTCCAGTGTCTGATTGAAAAGTGAGGCTCTAAATAGTAAGAAAATGGGTCACGAATTTGCCCCCTGGGGTACATACTTTGTAGTATTTTCCAAATTCTGTAGGAGTGATTGGCATTATTTATTTTGCAAATGATTCATATATATAATGTCTATGTATGTAACTTACAAACATCAAGCTATCTAAAATAATCGAGAATGAAAAAATTATTTTCCGGGGGTGGGGTGTTTTTGGGGGGTGGGGGGCTAACCCCTGAAAAAAAAGAATTATGTACCACTCTGTGAAGCTATCACCTAGGTAGAATTTTCATCCAAGACTTCCCTCTAACTGAAAATGCTGCCAAACCAACTATACTCCATTTATTAAGAATTTTCCTCCTCGCTCTTAGAGTATTTTACAGAAATTGAGTATTTAATAAATGTATGTACTCAGGTAGCGGTTATTGACTACAATCTGAAGAATTCCAGCTAAAATGTTAAGCACCCGCTATTGGGGTGAACTGAACTGTCCAACAAAAATGCATATCTCAAATGAAGATGTGTTGAACATTTATGAATTAAGAATATTTCATTTTCTTTCAACTTGTTCAAAATGTAGAACATTTCAACAAAATAAGTGTAAAGTTTAAATTTTATTTTAACAAATAATTAAAACTGTATAACGTTAGTCATTAGCCAGTTCTATCAAACAAGGATATGTAAACCGACAGATGAAAATTCATTCTCGTAGTCTACAAAAAGTACAATTACATAGTTTGTTGGGTGTTATGAAAAATAAATTAGTTATTCAGACGATATACAAGTATATCATGTTGATTCTAAGTCACACAACAATCAAAAAGAGGAGGAAAAACCCAAGAGCTTAGGAGATGACAGACATAATTTCGTCTCTTGCTTACCACCTTCGTTTGTCAGAAATTTTACCAGCCAGTTACCAATACCACATGTCGTTGTGATGTTTTAATCGATGTTAACATATTCCTTACACATGTGATGTGAAACAACAAGTTATGATGTTTTCTAACACGCCAGATATTAACATAATATTATTCGATGGGATTTTAGAAAATGTTCAAACCGCCACTGAATGACGTCATTTGTCTGTTGATTTAACCAATCAGCGACAATATCATCTCAATACACATTTCAGACATTATTTACGTATGTCATCTCTGAACCCTGGGTTTTTCCCCCTCTCATAACCAAGTGTCATAACTGAGTTACATTTAAACCATTTATACGCTGACCAACTTCATTTCAAGAACAAAAATCACATCCTTTGTCAAAGTGGCAAAGCTTAACAGATTTCAAACACGCACATCGTTGTACACTTATCTGTTCTATGTGCTTGTAATTAAGGATTCAAATATGACCATCTCTAATTGAGTTTCTCAACCAATCAGAATTCAGTATAGATGCACGGTCGTTCATGGATAATTAGAGCACAGCTATGCTACATTCTGATTGGTTGAGAAACCCAATTAGGGAACGATCATGTTTAAATATTCAATATTACTGTATATTGAAGATTGCATGCATTGATGGTGCTAAAGATTCAGCTAGCACATGAAGACATACTATGTATGCATATACAATCATATATATGTGAACGTGTCAATATGGTCACATTGCGAACTTAATAAGATCATTCTAATGTATTTACAGATCTTTATCCCTGATGTAAAAGGGTGGGAGGTCCTATCAGATTATGGTCCTACTCTCCATTGATTTATATGGTGACCTAAATACAACTCTTTCCCTCATTATCTTATACACAATCAGGGCCAGTAAGGGCCGCTTAGAAAGGGGACCATAATCCCCAGGGGACCATAATTTCTTTCACACCTGGTCCTAATCTTGAATCTAGTCTTAATGATAATGTTATGTACTCATTGTTCTTATTCTAATGTCATGTGTACATGTAGATACTGTCAAATGTTCTATTCACATATTGTTGTATAGATAATGTCTTTCTATATCGTATCTATTCTAATCTTATCATCAACTTGATAATATCATATTTTATTGTTCTTATTCTATTTTTAACTTTATACAAATGTAACAATGTGTTTCTGTCACAATTAGCTGGTTTCTGTCACAATTAGCTGGTTTCTGTCACAATTGGCTGGGGGCGATCAACCTAGCAGAGTTTGAGCCTCCTGCATTCATTGTAGAACCTGTGACAAAAGTTGTGTCATCTGGTCGAGCAATGTTCAATGGTGCAGCTTGTAATAGTGATGTCATATTTGGGAGACTGTTTGGTCGAGTTTGCGCTGTAGTAACACTTTGCTGCCCAATTTCACTCTGGGGAAATGCATTCATAGGGGCACTTTTTAATAATGATGTCATATTTGGTAATTTGGATGTCACACTTGTCGAGGAATCTTTCAATGATGATGTCCTATTTGTAGACGGAAATGTCATATTAAGAAGACTGTTTTGACTAGATTGCGCTGTTTGTTGTTTAACTTCGTGCTGCTGTAACACATTTAGAGGGGCACTTTTTAATAATGATGTCATATTTGGTAATTTGGACGTCGCACTTGTTGGGGAAACTTTCAATAATGATGTCATATTTGTTGAAAGTGGTGTCATATTTGAGGTAGTTGTTTTCAATAATGATGTTATCTTTGGTGGATTAAATGTGTTGTTTGACAACATTGATCTAACACTTGGTAAACTGTTTGGTCGACTCTGGGATATTGTCGGAGTATTTTGTGGCCCTCCCGTTTCGAATGATTTGAAAAGCGACTTCACTGTCCCTTGTTTGTGAGATTCATTATATTTTTGAGCTGAATCAAGCACTTGATTTAACTTGGAGTACAACCCATTGTCTAGTTCTGAGAGACTGATGTTCACCACACTAGTTGGTGAATGAGACATTGGGGGATAACCAAATTCATCCGGCTCTTCGAGTAGTGGGCTGTCCCAAAGCATCTTCTCTGGACTTTGCATCAGTCTTCTTACATGAGGGGTATCTGGATTTGGTCTCCCGGGGGTATTCAATTGCCCATTTTGTGGACTTGATGTCAGAAGTTTGCCTAGTTTTTCACGAGCTTTACCAATTGGTGTATGTCCCGTTTTCAAGGCGACCTCCCCTAACATTTCTAGATTATACAAGTCTTTGCCAGATGCATCCTCTTTAGTTTTGCCGGATGAATTGCCAGATGTGTCAGAACCATGAGCAGAATCACCACTATTCTCAACAATCCCATCGATAACATCTCTTCCAAATTCATCAAGATTGTCTCCATTCTTAGCTCCATTGGTTTTACAATGTTTATCGATCATGTGGCCAATTTGAGATTTCTTACGGTTGGATGATTTTGATGCTTTAGGTCTTCTTGCTCTCGACCAATTCTCATCCTCTGAGGTTTGTATTTGACCTTGACCTTGGGTTTGAGCGTAAGTAGCTATAGTGGAATTTGCCTCTCGCTCTAATTGTTCTGAGAGTTCCACACTTTCATACCTGACAGTTTGTAGGCGATGAACTCCATCCTCATCCAGCTTATACCTGCAAAAAAACAGGAAAAAATGTACACCAAAGGCTGCAAATATGAACATGATTTCACGAATCTCAACCTTATTATTCAACACATAACTTTCATAACGAAGTTCGTTTTGTTAGAAGGAGGGGATAAATTATGGTTTCAATAACAAATAATGTTAATCTTTTAATTTTCAAGTGAAAGACAAATCAACATTTTAAAAGTTCTTTAGATGAGGGATGAGGGTCAAACCAAAACAAAACTAACTTCATTTTTCATGACTGTTGATAACTTGACACCACCCATTAAGTAGAAAATCAATAACACACTTTTGTTAACAAAATAATCAATAATACCCATGTACTGAATTATATGATTGATTCCATGTAGAATTAATACATAATACACCTTCCGTGTTCTCCAAAAGAATTCTTTGCCTCAATTTGGAGCAAAATTTTGTTTTATCTCATTTTCAACATTTCCAAATAGATTTTCAAGTGGTGCTAGCCTTGCGTAACTGGCCTCAGACATACCTGAATCTTCTATGCCCAGATGGCCACTTAAAGTTATGTTTGGTCTTCAGATGATAGGTTAACTTTGTTCCACTTGACACAGATTGGTCACATAGATGGCAGCCATACTTGATATTGCAAAGTTCCTGGAAAAGAATTAATTGATCCGATACATTATTTTAATCTTCAAGCTTCATTCAATGTGATTATTTCTATTTCACTACCTATGCAGAAACTTGTTTCCAAAGGTTAACTACAAATGCTTCATTTGTGATTTCTTACAATGAATGATGCTGAATGCTGTCATGGTCCTGAAAGCTGTCATGACAGTGATCATGACTCATGACACTGAATGCTGTTGTGACATTGATCATGGTTCATGACACTGAATGCTGTCATGACACTGAATGTTGCCATGACACTGAATGCTGTCATGACATTATTGAAAAAGTTATTTCAATTTACGAGCACACAATATACACAGCAAATATGTATTGTAAGTTGCTACGACACACTGTTCATTGAGTCAGGCATCTGCAGAGAATGAATACATATGTTATCTCAGCGACTTGCACCAATACTTAGAAATCATCAAAAGAAATTACAGTAAAACCTGTTTAACTTATTCCATTCTACAACAGACAGCTTATAACCAAAGCCTAAAGTTGTACAGTAAGTTTAACTCACCGCATGCTTTGTCTTGAAGTGGTTTGAGAGGGCTGAGTAGCTTCTAGCCTTGTAGTCGCAACCTTCTACGTGACAAACATAGCCAGGCTCTTCTGAGTGTTGCTCTATATGCTTACGTAGATCACTGGCACATTTGGAGCTGCAAGGAAAAATGTCATCATTAGTTCTCTGGTTTACTTTTCATGAATGACTGGGTGGAATTGTCAAAACTTGTGGAAAAAATGAAATTAATTTCAGTAGATTGACCCCTGCCCTCCACATATATGACAAAACATGAAAATGTCGATTGGCCCCCTTCTTCTCTTCTTAACATAATTAATAGAGCTGTCAACAATTGGACACGATCCCTTACTCTGATTGGCTTATTTCAGCCTAGTTCATGAACTCACATAGAACACATCACTATATAATCAGACTGAAAGATTTTGTCCTTATTCAGATTCAAAAATATTCATGAATCTATAAGGAACATATCATTACAACTAATCAGATTCAAAAAAGTTTTAAACTATTATCAAAAATTATTAGCAACATATCAGATTGAAGAATGTTGTAATAGTAATAATGTCATAAAATCCTTCCTGAGTTCACAATGACACTCATCTGTCTTATAGGAGGTGTGTCTATAATGAATGTGTGTTCTCTGGCCAGAGAGGGTGGGACACGTTATGTCAATACATCACATTCATGAATGTTCATGAACTTAGCTGAACTTATGATAGTGTAATAAATCCTACCTGTGTTCAGAATAAGGACACCGAGAGGGATGAACGTCATGTAAACGTATCAGATTCAAGAATATTCATGAACTTACTTGAACTTAAAAAATAACATCCTACCTGTGTTCACAATAAGGACACTGATCTGTCTTATAAGAGGTGTGTCTATAATGGATGTGTGTTCTCAGGCCAGAGGGGGATGGACACGTCATGTCACAGTACATACACTTGTAGTGGTTCACTGAAACATAATACTTAAATATTGTAATATCTGTCTAATCTGAACACTATTGAGATCAAGTGTTACAAGTGTTCAGATTGGCAGGTGTTCAGACATCAGGAAGAACCTAAGGTAGCAAATCCCATCGAACAGCCATGGCTGGCATTTTTACAAACAAAGTATATAGCAAAAATGACAGCCATTTTGCAAAATGGCAACCTTCTACCAAAAGTGTCATTAGACAGTGTGCCATGCTTGTAGTTTTCGCATACCAAATATGAACAAAATCGCTCCCCTACTTTTCGAGTTATAGTAAAATATGTTAAAATGGTGGCCATTTTGAAAAATGGCCGCCTTCTACCAAAAGTGTCATTAGACAGTGTGCCATGCTTATAGTATTCACATACCAAATATGAACAAAATTGCTCCACTACTTTTCGAGTTATAGTAAAATACGTTAAAATGGTGGTCATTTTTCAAAATGGCCGCCTTCTACCAAAAGTGTCATTAGACAGTGTGCCATGCTTATAGTATTCACATACCAAATATGAACAAAATCGCTCCACTACTTTTTGAGTTACAGCTTTCGAGCAGAACTTCTACCCAAATAGGGTATAAGTATGTGTACAAAATATGGACAAAATCGGGCCAACAGTATTTGACAGATGTATCATAGAATGTACATTTTGTAGCAATCATGTTTGTCAAGCCTATTTGAAAAGGTGTTTCCAGTCTGAATGTATACATCAACACTACATTAGAATCATGATGTAATGATTTTGTATTTTTCCATTTTGCTTATGACTGTATATTTGTATATAAAACACATGTAAATAACTGTATAGTGACCCATGTGTCGGAGAGACTGACATATATAAGAGTCAATAAAAGAATATATATATATAGATGGAGGCGTTCCCTATATCCCTCCGAACTTTGTTCGATGGGATAATAATATTGTGAATTAAAATTATTCTGAATTCTTAAAAAATAAACAGTGTAAAATAAAATGTGTTGATTCTGCAAAAACAAATACACTTAATTAGCAATAAATACAAACAAATCAAGAACAAGTAATACATTTAAAACATTTTTAATAAAATTATTTCTTGTATTTTATGACTTACCTATAACTACATGGTTGTACAATGAACTTAAGTATACAATACATAAAAAGAATGAATACAGATGTTATATTTACTAGTTCTTTATTTAAATTCAGTTCAGGTAACTATGGATGGGAGGCATTTAACCCTTCCGCGACATGAATATAAGAGGAAAATGTTGGCCTGGTGATGGAAAAATAAGAGCGTTTTTTTTAGGGAAAAACTGCAAATTGCCTATACCCCATGACCTATACTTTTATACTTTTATTTTATGACTGAAATACAGTTTTTTATAAGAATTATTACATTTTAACAACTTGTCAAAATTTTGTGTAAAAATAATGGACAGATATGGTCATTTTATTGAGGTATATAAGATAAAAGAATGGTGCCAAAAGGAGCCTATCGTTCTGAAAGGTATTACATAATAGGGCTCCATATGGAGCCTATCGTCGTGAAAGGGTTAAACAACTGACATCCTTCCCATAATCAAGAGTTGCCCCACATATGTTGTGCAAAAAATCCTGTTTACTGATAGATATCAGTAGGAAACATTCGACAGTGCAAATGTTGAGGGACAGGCATGGCCGGACGCTTGGATCTGGGGGGGATCTAACAGGCGTTTCGGATGCTAAACCTCATCAGCGGCCTACCAAGCAAAAAAAGAAGGGATGGGGATATCAGAAGGTATGTTTACCTAAAAAGGGGGGTATCATGGTAAGCATTTGAGTAAAATGCGCATATAGGTTGTCACATGTCTTCTTGGCTCGATAAAAAATGGGGTAGAGGGTGAGGGATGGAGGAAGCATAAGACACCATCATAGTGTGTATGTGCCGTTATGGTTTGGGGTGGAGCATGGCAATAGGTGGTGGCCTATGCTGTGTAGAGTATATGTCCGGATGTTTGTATTGTGGTGAACATACGACGGACAGGAGATGAGATGTATCGTCGAAAGATGGTCGACGGGTATGTGCATATGCTGTTCATATGCGAGATATACGAGTTATACTCATAGTGACATATAAGGGTGAAGTGTTCAAAGTCACACATACATAATCCATATAATGAATGGAGACCATGTACATTTATATGTATATCTTAATTTTACTGAAAATGAATAAAATATATTATTATTACAAGAAGGATTTGTAGCAAATTGATCTAGCTGAGTTGATACTAAAGTGAAATGTTCAAAAACTAGTTAACTGAATTTACTTTTAAATTAATTTACTGAAAAAAATGTGTTGTGCAGATGAATTTAGGTATTCATGTAGTGATTATAATTACCAATATTTAACAAAATTACCAATACATGTATTTTATGAAATTACAAATATTTAAGGAAATTACCAATACTTACAAAATGGGTAATAATCTTTATCTAGATTTATTAAACGTATTACTATTTTATAGAATACGATAGTTAAAATTCAATATGTATTGTTAAAATTATCATGTTGTTAATGACATAAATTCCATAGAATAAATTTTTTCAATTATTTGTAAAAGTAGGGAACTACCTTAATATGTTAAAAACATGAAGAATGAGGTGCATTTTATGGGGTTAAAAGGGCTGTGAAAGAAACTTGTGCATTTAATTCAAGAAACTGGGCCATTATTCAAGAAACTGGTGCATTTAATTCAAGAAACTGGGGCATTATTCAAGAAAATGGTGCATTCAATTCAAGAAACTGGGGTATTATTCAAGAAAATGGTGCATTTAATTCAAGAAACTGGGGTATTATTCAAGAAAATGGTGCATTATCCATAAGCTGACTTACCATGATGTCTCATATGGTCACGTAACAAACGCTCGCTTGGATACATCTTGTTGCAATGTGAACACTGAAACTTTTGAGCTAAAATAAATAAAATCAAAGCACTTAATTAAATAGCAGACTTGACCCCCCCCCCCGGACCATCTTTATACTGCCACAGTTCCCCAAGTTACCTGTTTTGGGCCTGTTTTTTTTTGTAAAACTGTAACTAAGATTTCTCGAAAACCATTGTCTACAGAAAGATGAACAATGAGTTTGGACAAAATCGTAATTTTAGACAGTTCCAAAATTAAAAACAAACATTGAAGGTACTTGGAGATGGCATTTAAAAAAAATCCCCCAAAATCTTGACTTTTAATATCCAAACTATTTCATAATTTCCAAAATTCTATGAGATATAAACCTCATTTTGACCTTGAACTTTGCTATGACTACAGATATGAAACAGTTTGGTTATCAATGAATACAGAATAGTAGTTTGCAGCCTACCTAAAATTAAATATGAACAAGCTAATTAGTAAAGTCACTCTTTCAAAGCCAAGACCTTTCTATGTCAATTCAAGAATCAAAATGAATGTGAGCCGAAAATGTACAATCCTACCATAAGTATCTCACCAAAATAATCTGATTGGATATAAATCAAAGAATCAAAGTCTCGAACTCAGAGGGTGTAGATGCAGTCAACCTCTGGCCAAGGGTAGTAATCATACATGTATGTGTAGATTCTCAGAAGTAATAGATGACAAAATTAACATAAGGTTTTGGCATAAAAGAAACTAACATAAACAGTTTATGTAACATAAGCAAAAAAACACTCAACATATTTATCTCAGATTCAATTCAAAATACAACCATTTGAACTGTATAACGGTTGGACGAAAGCGTGTTAGATACATTGTTGAAGGTGCAGCATGAGCAGTGATATGGGAAATGTGAGCCACCATTCTATTTTAACAAATCACTGTCTAACTTTGAATTTCTAAAACATTGAATGAATAAGTTATATTGCCATCCTCTGATGCCCATGCTGTACCTCAACATGGTCATAACACCTCCACACCATCCTCTAAAGAACCAAACAAGACTCTTTTAGATGATATTTTGGAGAATATGCCAGAAATGTGTTACCATGGCAACGCATATGATCTCTCAACAGTCTTATCAAGCTGAAGCACTTGAAGCAATGTGAGCATTGGTAGATGTTGCCTGAAATATGGCATATTTTCATTTTGTCTGAAATATGGCATATCCTAATTTTCTCTTGAATAATGTCACATAATTGCTATTGGTAGATGTTGCCTGAAATATGGCATATTTTAATTTTTTCTGAAATATGGCATATCCTAATTTTCTCTGAATAATGTCACATAATTGCTACTGGTATATGTTTCCTGAAATATGGCATATTTTAATTTTGTCTGAAATATGGCATATCCTATTTTTCTCTAAATAATGCATTGCTATTGGTAGATTGGTAGATGTTGCCTGAAATATGGAATATTTTAATTTTGTCTGAAATGTAACATATTTTTGTTTTGTCTATAATATGGCACATTTTGATTTTCTCTGATTTTTCAGAAATAAGAGATTCATAAATTATGCCTGAAACATTGCAGATTTTGAATTTTGAATGAAATATGGAGAAATTAATTAAGAGTAAATCCCTTAATGTTTTATTCAAAAATATAAAGTGTGAGAATCTTTTAAATTGACTTACTTTCCATATCAGCTTGCCTTTTCAAATGATCAATAAACTTTGTTCTGTTTGAGAAAAGTCCTCCACAAGTAGGGCAGGCCACTAGTTTCTCTTGTGTGTGACTTCTAAGGTGATCCTTCAATTTGTGTCTACTTTTAAATGTACATGCGCAACCTGTAAAATACAACAAATAGAATTCCAAGGCATTAACATGCAAAATGTCACCACTGGCCATTTGTTACAGATGCTAACAGGCAAACAATGTCCACAAAAAAGTTTGTGACTATAACATTATGTCAACACATGGTGGTGACAAAATCAAACTGAGCATTAATAGAAGTCACAAGGTGGAGTTGTTTATAAAGTTGCGGATTTCTGTCAGAACTTCAATTTTTTAAATTATTGAAAGTGACCTAAATGTATCAAACACCCACATAAATACATCAGATTGACTCTTTTGATTATTGAAAATTAGATTGAACACGAAACTGGTCTTGCTGTACATGAATTAGATCATTCTTCACTAATTTAAGGGCAAACTTCAACCAAACTTCAAACAAACTCTTACTCAATTACCTTCCCAAAGGTAAGCGGCATCAACAGGTAAATGATTGTTTAATATAAATTTAGATTCTTCACCCAATTACCTTCACAAAGGCAAACCACATCAACTGGTAAATGATTGTTTAATATAAGTTTAGATTCTTCACACAATTACCTTCCCAAAGGCAAACCACATCAACTGGTAAATGATTGTTTAACATAAGTTAAGATTCTTCACACAACAATTACCTTCCCAAAGACAAGCCCCATCGACTGGTAAATGATTGATATAAGATTAGATTCTTCACATAATTACCTTCCCAAAGGCAAGCGGCATCAACAGGTAAGTGATTGCCTCCATCGTATATATTGCAATGCTGTTCCACATGCCGGTAGAAGTATTCTGGATTCTCAATCACAATCTGCAAAAATTAACTTCACTTTTTTGAATATCTCCAAGTGTCCAAGTGTGTCCAAACTTGACCTTGAACTAGACATGACCTCTTTTGACCTCAACAATATTGATGTCAACTTTTATATCCAATAATTAAATACATTTTTTATGAAAGTTAAGAAATTGGAAATTTATTTTCCTGGCAAAAAAGGCCAAGTGAAAATGACATAGGAAATTTCACTTCCATTTTATAGTGTTTAAGCATCACAAATATTTTTCATATAGATTATTGAAAGGAGTTTTGAGACACAGACACAGGAACAAGAGTTCAACCCCCTCCCACTCACAATGTATTAGGTAGAATATTTTTTTGCATTAGCTATACAGTGACTGGGCCTACATCTTCCTGGGCCTGCGTTTTGAGATCTCAAAAATGACAATTACAAAGAGTGCTTCCCTCTCCCCTCCATCTCCAACCATGGTAGAAATGTGCCTAGCACTTACCCCACAATTTCTCCAGCCACACTGAAGTTCTTCCGGCAGCTCTGGAATCATGTTGCGACTTTGAGGATCTAACAAGCATCCCTGAAGATTTTTCTGAAGCACCATCAGCATTCCTAAGCACTGGAGGAAAATTATTCAACGTGAGCAGAAAAATAGCAATTCAATATAGTTCAACTGTTTGCATAGCGTAGAGACAACAATAAAACAATACAAATATGTTTGTGGCAAAGGGCTAAAAATTAAACAATTCAATATGTCAGATTCATTTATTCTGTTATTAAGCCAGGGAAAAAGATAAAGCAATTCATTGTAGTTTCTTTTTTATTTGATTGTTTACTTGATAAGGGATGAAACATTTAATAAGTACTGGTACATCTTTTCTAAACAAGACACACAGTGATAAAAATCGCATATTAAAGTACAAAATGGCTGCCATGTAATTAACCCAGGATGTCCAAAATTTAATCAAATGATTGCACTAGTCTGCTCTTGCATAGCGTCTGTAAAAATTACAACTATAAAAGATAACCAATTTTTTAAAATTTCGATGACAAGATTCATGTGCCTGCCAAGCACATAACTACGAAAGTTACCAAATCTTTTAAACATCTGAAGTTTTCCTCAAGTAATGTTTTAAATTAAAACAAGATTTGAGCCTCAACTCAGGAAAATTAAAATTGTGCTATGGAGCCAAAATGTGCACAAGACTAAGAGGAAGATGTGCTAAATTCAAATCAACCTTGGTCTATATCTGTAAGGAAATTAAGACATAAGCCATGACTCATTTGAAAGGTCTCTAACATGATTTTTAAAATAACAAAAATCAAAAAAAAATCGGTAACTGACCCCTTTTCCTGTGCCCTGAGGCTCATTTACTGAGTGAAAATATACCTTGAGTTTGGTGTGAAAACAATGAAAGAAGAAGTGGCGATTCATGTCTGCAACTGCAGAAGTTGGAATATGTGTTTCAAATCCACATCCCTGCCACTGACATTTTAGAGTCATTTCAGCTTCTGTAAATTAGAGAAACAAATACACTTCAGTGACCTCCCCAGGATTTTTTCTCAGGTGGGTGCAAAATTCTCATTTTCACAATGCAGACCAAATTTGGTCGAAACTTGCCATTTTTCATGATTTTTCTTATTTTCAAGTGTGCAAATGGATTTTCAGGTGGGTGCAAGGCTGCAAGCCTATTTTCAAAATCTCAGGTGGGTGCTCCGCCCACTTGATTTAATGATCGGGAGATCACTGCACTTAAATATAGAGTATAAAAGCAATTTAAAAAGGTTTATGCTACTAGATTTCAAATTTCAAGAAAGGTTAAATTAATTTAGCAAACTTTTCCAAAGATGGTTTATCAGATGTCCAAATAAATCAAATCTCGTTTTTAAAGGCATTCTCAACATACTTCTATGTCAATAATTTCTTACCATTCTCATTTTCAAAGCCAGTCAGCAAAAGTTCCAAGTGTTGTTTACAATGCTCTATCATTTGCCCTACATCATTGTATACATCTTCACAATCTGACCATTCACATGTGAGAGTTAATGTTGCCTCGTGTCCCTTATCTCCGCTTGAAGATTTTTTCTTTCTGCGTTTAGCAGGTGGGGGCATGGACTCCATACTTATGGACTTGATATCTCAGAAATTGGAGAGTTATACCTGCAAATGTGTGCATTGATATTGAAGGGTTAATAAATATTTCCATATAAAAGATGACATTTGCTTACATACTAGTTTGCTACTTTGTAAATGTTTGGGACATAGATGTCTACATACAATGACAATTGATATACAGTAGTATATGATAATAGATTGTCACATTTCGCCCCTTAGCCTGTATGCATAATCTGATTGGGGCAGCAATGGCTTGGTCTTATACATTGCCGGCAACACTTTTCTCATGATGTACATGTAAGCCAACGAACGATAAGTGCACAGTGCTTGATTGAAATTTGTGTAAATGGTTAAATTTTTTCGTAACTTTGCGAATCGTTCGTAACTTTACGAAGGTTCTGTTAATGCACATAATAAATAACATTTACCAAATTCGTAAAATTAACAATTGACTTGCGAATTCGTAACTTTATGAAAGTTCTGTTAATGACCCCCAGATTATAAAAAAAATGTTTTGCAGTCGTGTGCACTTGCAGACGAGTGTAGGATTGGGCAGGGGAGAATGGCCTGATCTAAGATAGACAAAACTGCATGATCTACAGTGGAACTATTGGACTGAACAAAATGCTGCGCAGAAAGTATGATGGTTCGTCTTCTGTATTAGTATACAGTTAGGACCTAATGCTTTATAATTTAGACCAAAATATAGAATAAACTCACATGTAAATCATAAAATCAATGAACAAACATTCAATTTTCACATATGTTCGGGAATTTTTCGTATTGAGACTTCCGGAACTTATGTGGAAATCATTCAGTTTCACTGTTCATAATTTACCTCTTGGATATTATGCTAAATGCTAGACGGTGAACACCGCCTCTAATGCGTTGGATTGTCGTAAGGACTTGCACGATTCTCAGAGACCCAGAGGGTGCATGAATGCACCTAGCTAAATGCTAGATGGTTGATGCATGGGCCCATGGTTGACGCAACAAAGGTGATCGGATTTCATTGAAATTTGTGTCCTCTATAAGATAAATAAAACCCCCAATCTTCAACTCTTATATATCAAGTTCTACCAAGGCAGTCACGCCATGAAAAAAAGTAGTAGCCTATGTTTTCTTTTCTTCTGAATATTTTTGCACAGCATAAAAATTGTCTTTCTTGTGCAAATTTAACGAGTAAATGTGTGGATATGTAGTAGACGAACAAAGCAGACAAAATTATAATTTATTTAGATAGCATGCAGCTTACCTTTGACCCACTTTTAGGCTATTTCTTGTTCTAAATAAGCTTTTGAAAAGTTTAGGAAAATTTTAAAATTCAACCGGAAGTTCACAAAACTGGCTCAAGAAGTGAATGAAATGAAATTTTCGAGAAAATAATATTTAGTTATTTACCATTATTTAAGTCAAAAAACATTGACAAAAAATAATGTATCAGTCAGTATATTTTAAATGCATTTACAACTGGTGTATATCTGATAAAATAAAGATATGAATATATGGTAGTGTATCGAAAAAGCGAACGTCAATTCATTTACAGCGTATAAGTTCAGATCTAAGTAAATATTTTCAAAAGTTATGCTTATACTGCTTTGCATTTCATATACCTCTGTGATACCTGTGATGTGATACCTCTCCTTTAGTTGGCTGTTTAGTCGAGTGTGACTTCCAAAGATTGGACAAGCAAAGTGTTCGTTCGTTAAACTTTCAACGTATAAGGGTACCCCCGTAAAAGAAGTCGTTCGTATAAATAACGCAACTAGATGTAATGTGAAATTACGAGTCCAGTTCTACCCAAAATAAGACATTTTCCTTTCATTCTACACTTCAATTTAGGTAAGTGAATCGTGATGTTTATATCAGACAATGCAGGAAAGAAAATTTACAGTAAAAGGTGCTAACCCTTGACTTTATATGCGATTTCGAATCACGGAACAAATTTTTTGTGAAACCATTTTTTATTTTTTCTAAAATTATGCTTTCCCGGATTGGGAAGGAGGATTGGATTGGAAGCCAGGTTTCCAACTCGAAATTCTTTAACATTATGCGATATTGGCTATTCGTGATGTATATTTCTATGGCTGCAAGGAGAATGGTCGATATTCTTGATTGTGAATGTTGCCTACAGTGGGGAACATAAAGAATTCGAAGTGTCTGGAGTACCTTAAAATTTAAGGCTCTCTAGCCAAAATGCTAAAGAGCCTTAAAATTTAAGGCTATTTAGGCTGTGAACATACTGTTTTGGCTAGAGAGCCTTTGTGTTTATAATCCGTGTATATATTGTTTTTTATTGAAGTTTTCGTCATCTAAACAATAAAACAACACTCTCGAAAGTTTTTCAACCCAGAATGCCACTTAAATATTTCACACATGTATATCACTATAAAGTTGTAAAAAATTTAGACCCATCATGGAAAAACACTCTGGTATAGTGGTTAGGGTGCTCGCTTGCCACTTCTGCGGCGTGTGTTCGATTCCCCGACGGAGCACTTTTTATTTTGAATAACAAGCCGGAAGTTTGTTCTCCGCCCGGTTCTCTGATGTCCGGAAATTATGTACACAATTTTTTCTAGAATTCTTGGGCTTGCTCCATCGCTCAATCATCAATGTTTAATGAAATTAATCACTTGTACCGGCTTTGCTATAGTCACGAGAATACAGGGAATCCCATTTTAAGATGGCAAAAAGTATGATGAAGACCTGGGGATGAAAGGATCTTGTTTCTTCTAGATCAGCACATCTTGACGCAGTTTATCGTGAATGCAGGGACATCACAGAATACACTTCCAAATCTATTGCCCATTAGATTTCAATGCTGATTTTAGAATTTTTCACTTGACGATTGAGATATTTTTGCATCTTCCTCAGAATTAAAGCACATGAGACAGAACAAAGAAAATTTACAGTACAAAAGAGGTGAACTGTCGAGGAAACAGCGGCTTATGCAACACAACAACAACATTTTTATCCTAGCCTCCAATCCATCAATAAATGACTCTATAGTACATCAAAATCTTTACGAAACGGACGTTGCGATTTATAGTGGATAAAATGGTAAAAATAACATTTTTCTGGCTATACGTGATTGCTTGGTCTTACACCTTCTCTGGTGAACCAGAGACATATATTTTGGATGTATGCATGAACAATTATCAAACATTTACTTTTCAAAATCGATGTTTGAACCTTTAAAAACCAAATTTAGACTGGGGATTGAAAAGGTTCTTTTATTTCTCTCGGTAGACCGGAAGTAAATTCATGAGTCGAGCAAAAAGTGATAATGTTTTTTATGAAGTGGGGAAGTCAAAACAGTACTTATAGAAGTCATAGAAGTCATTAGAAGATCATTTAAAACCATTCAAATCGACGGCAAAGTTTAATAGTTGAAATGACTGAAATCTTTATATGTTCTTCTTCATCTTCGCGGACCTCAGAGAAGTCACTTCCGGTTTAATAATCAGTGATTTTATCGAGCAAAAAATTTTCTTTTTGAATTTGTCCGATATCTGCTAATATGGTATGTATATTTGTGCTGATTGTTAAATTACAAAATAGGTTGGGTATAGAATATGTCAAAGTCGTTTGATCTTGTCCCAGAAGCAATATTTCGTCATTTCTGTCGCCTGGAATTCCTTAAGGCTCTCTAGCAGAATTGGCTATCAAAATGCTAAAGAGCCTTAAATTTTAAGGCTCTTTAGCCCAAATGCTAAAGAACCTTAAAATTTAAGGCTCTTTAGCATTTTGGCTAGAGAGCCTTAAATTTTAAGGCTCTCCAGGCGCTGCCTAAAGAATTACAAAAGCTATGAAAATTACATGCTGGCGTTCATGTAATAAATTCTTACCTCAGTGTAGTGCTCGGACCGTTGATGAAAAGTGGTGCCGGTATTTCCGTATCTCATTACCGATATTTACCGACTATTTAGCAAGTATTTTAAGGTGACATTTAAGTTAATCTAAAGTACAAAACATGGGAGCCATATTTTTTTGATAAAGTCAGAAGATTTTGTATACTGTTTCCTTGTATGTGAATGCATTTCCTGACTAAAGAGACACATAAAAGAAAACCTCACATTTAAACACATTTTTCATAGCTATGAATTGGAGGTGCATGGCTCCCCAAAGCTAGCATGAAGAGTGTGAAGTGAGGCTATTTTTGGAAAGTTTCAAGGAGTAGCCTTGCAACAGAATTCAAAATTTGCAGATATAATCTTACCTTACCAAGGAACAACGAAGGAGCATGATAATGTGTACACCTTGCATTGTTAGAGTATAATAAAGCTCAAACCATTGTGAATTCTTAATATTTCATGTCTACCATTTTGTTTCCTGGAACTATTTTTTAGTCCAGAGTTATCCTCATTCATGTATCCATTGTTTATCATTCATAAAGCCTCTATCATGTATCTATCATGATAATTATACTGTAATAGATAAAATATACCAGTTATAATCCATGCCACTTGGTGTAGTCACAAAACTTGTATGAGGATTAATCAGGAAGTCTAGAAGTAGTTCCGGCAAACAGAATGGTGGACATGAAATATTTAGAATTTACAATGGTTTGAGCTTTATTATACTCTAACAATGCAAGAAGTGCACATTTTCATGCTCCTTCGTTGTTCCTGGGAAAGGTAAGATGATTTGTGGAAATTTTAGACTCTTGCAAATGTGTGACTGTTGCAAGGCTACTCCTTGAAACTTTCAAAAATTAGCTTCACTTCGCACTCTTCATGCTAGCTTTGGGGATCCATGCACCTCCAATTCATAGTTTGGAAAAATGCGTTTATGTGTGATGTTAACTTTGACATGTTTCATTAGTCAAGATATATAATTCATATACAAGGTAAACAGATTTTAAAAACATTGTGTCTTTATCAAAAGAATATGGCAGTCATTTTTTGTACTATTTATTTAATTTAGCTTCGCCTTAAAAAAGCTAAAAAAAAGTTTTCCCCAGGGATATTTAGCCAAAAATCTCATAGCACGCCATACAATACCACTTAATTTATCCGGCTGTAGAAACAGTAGAACCCACTCAGAATAATTTTAAACCACTAAACGATCCTGATTCTAACGGTTCATATGATATAAACTCGTAAAATAAATATGTTTTCGTTCTTTGTATTATCAGCCTCGTTCTGAACTTCAAATCGGGCGATAATAGGTAAAGTGAAACTTCAACGTCAGGAAAATGGTTAAATTCTGTTTATTTTACTTAGCAATGTACACAAATAGGTTTCTATACATAACAGTTTAGTTAATAAGTGAGAAAAGAAACTATAAAAATCATACTGATGAAGGAATTTGGCTGATTCCGCCCAGGAATCTAATTCAGCTGAATTCCGTCCATTGCCGGTAAGAAGATTTTGATGCCGACATTAGGTCAAATTAGTGCCGTTGTCGGTAATGCGGTATTACCTCCGACCACTACCTCAGTGTATTCAGTGCTCTATTTTCTCTGTCCTAGTTAGTCCAGATATAGTGGAATTTGTGTCCATAATGACAAACAAGAACTTCAAAATTTGAAGTGGATATTCACATGTTAATGCTGAATTTTCAAATGTTGAGGTGTTTTTGGAGCCCGATTGCGCCGCAATGTGGATTGGCTCCCAGAATGCAACATGATACTTGCCAGCTTTCAAAATGCTGTTCCACCATTTACAGACTACAGCTACAGACTTTGTAAGCCAATTTAGAAGCAATCCAAGATATACAAATGTTTTCCTTATTGCTCAATGGTCTTTACATTTCTTCTGGTGATTATGAAGTAAATTTAACAGACTGTAGAATATTACATATATCACGGGGGTAAAGCAGACCCGATGATGCAATGAGCTTGCTCGGCGGTATCATGACTGTGTAACGGGTCTAAATGTATAAGTGTGCTCGGCGGTAGGTTCAAACAACGTGGATCCTCAAAGCAGTGCTCATGGTATATTCGTGTTTTAACATCCGTGTATATCCTATGGGATGTCTACACAATAAAGTGTTTCAGCATTGCTAACCCTCTCATTATCCAAATGAATGAAGTTTGGTAGGGATATACAAACGAAGCCCTAGAAGAAGATAACTTGAATACTAGTTGACTGATTTTCTTCATATTTTTGGAAAGATGTATGTTGGTTAATAGTTTTACGCTAAAATCTTTTTCCAAGATGACTGCATGGTAAATACTGCCCATTTCTAGTCTATTTCGGTATATAAATGCCTTGATCGACAATGACTATTTTTTAATATATATATGTAGACACAGACTTAACAAAATGGATTGGAATTTCCCATTGGTCTAATGGTCTGGGCCTACAATTTGCCACTAGAGGCGCTACTGTTTCCATACATGCCTAAACCATTGTTGACATATGACATCATTGATATGATATAACTCTCTACAAAATTATTTATCAATGGATTAGGTTGTCTTCTTTATGTCAAGAGTCCGTAAAACCAGTCAAAACATTGAAATTCTAAAATCTTAGTGACATGCAGAATTTTTCAACTCGCAATCATGATATTTATACATTAACAAAGACACAGGAACTGAGGCAAAACAGGCTTCATTTGCTGGAAATGTTATGTTTATGCATGCACAGTTAGACCATACAGTGCCTTTAGTGGCAAAAAGACGGAGACTCGGAGACTAGTATTTCCAATCCATTTCTTCAGGTCTGTGATGTAAATTAACTTTGGCAAAATTAGAGTTGCTTTTAGAAAAACAATGCGCCCCCAGGGGTGGATCTGGGAATCAACAAGGGGGGGGGCCCAAATTTCAAGTCAGAGAAAAAAATGTCCGTGCTTGCGCGGAAAAAAATTTTGGGCCCCTAAAACCCCAAAGTGGGCCCAAATTTTGAAATTTTGAGGCCCATTTTCTTCAAAATTTGGCCTGAAATTAAAAAATAAGGCCTTAAAAGGCCCAGTAATGACCAAAAAGGCCCACTTTTTGGGGCCTGAAGGCCTTTTTTGGCTCAAAATTTTTTTTGGCCCAATTTTTTTTTTCTGGGCCCACCCACCAGTGCGCCCCATTATGACAAGGCTATTGAAAAACTGATTTATGGATTTCTGTAAGGCCATGTTTCAAGTTAAAAATCTACTTACATGTAGAAACATTATGCCAGGAAATCTGGTGCAAAAATGAGTCGAGAATATTAATTGACCAGCCTGGTATTGGTAAATTCGCTAAGAATTATTTGGTGTTAGGTCTGACGCATTATTTTTGAACTTCTAGTTCAAACCCCATTATATAACGCAAAGGCACAACAATATAATTATCATGTGAAGTTTTTAGTATCTCAAGGTAATGTTTCTTAATGCTCATCATTTACAGCATTCATTACACCAAATATTTAGTTGTATGTAAAGTGTCTCATTCTACTAGAAAATATCTGACCATTTTGGTAGTAGATTACTAAGAATGTGTTCACCATTATCAGGCTGTTCAGTTATATTCTTGTTTCATTTTTGTATTTCAGGTGTGTTGGGGGGAAAGTTTCCACAATCAAGATGTCAAAGGTTAAGAAGCACCCAATTGCAGATCCTAAAAACCCTAGAGTGCTCCTCCGTCCTGTTCGAAAACCATTCAAAGTAAACACTACGCCACCTATTGCATCGCAGTTTAATAATCCAGAGTCTAGTGATATTGTTCTCAAAGTTGGTAATGACTTGTACTATAGTCACCGGATTGTTTTATGCGCTGCAAGTGAAGTGTTCTCAAGCATGCTGGGTCCAGATTGGATTGAATCAAAAAAATCCGAGCTCGTTCTCCGAGAGGACTCATGCTGTGTTAAAGTTTTTCGCAACTTTCTCCAGTATCTCTATAGCGGCAGCTTGTGCATTAAGAATGACCATGTGTTCAGTGTATTCTTATTGGCGGATAAATATAACGTCAAGAATCTGTATGACGAATGCGTAAAACAAATCGTCGATAGTCTGTCCGTCAGAGTAGAGCTGATCCCAACCACGTTTATCTCAAAATCTGTGTCTGCATCGAGTTTGTCCTTTCTCAGTAGTGATACATCTTCATCGGACAGTGAGAGCAGTGATTCATACGTGAATGTAATTGATCCCTCACCGCATGACTCGCCAATGAAAAGGCTGTGCAAGAAACAAAAACGCAAAGAAATTCTTGTACCTGAAGAAGGTTTTTCAATGGATCTTGTAATCAAAATGGCAAACTATTTCGCAAATAAGGCAATCAGTGAAGCTGCGTTATACAATCTTGAATCACGACTAGTTAACAGTTTCCGTCAAAACAACTACAGCGTATGGAATTCCTTAGATGAATCATTGGTCACCAAAATGCTCTCGGACACCAACTTCTACGTCGGAGAAAGCATCCTGTTTAGTGCAACAAAAAAATGGTTGAACTTTCATCCAGATCGACAAAAAAAAGACGTCATAAAAAGGGTGATATCTCAAATCAGATTTCCAGTTCTCTCAATAGAGGAACTTTATGATGTTGAACAAGATGAAATCATTAGAGGTTGTGATGAGGCTAAAGAACTTGTTACTGATGCCATACGATTCAATCTATTCAAAGGATGTAAGAAAGCGACATCCAATGAAAACTGGAATGCACCCAGATATCAAAGGCGTTGCAAGAAAGAGAAAGGTTTTGAATACCTTGGTATGCCAGCTATGTTTGAGATGCTGAAACCATCTGGAAGCAGTAGCAAGAAAAAGAAATTGTCATAAAAAAGACTGACAGTGATAATTATGTTTAATATATAGACTTGTGTTTTTCTTCAGAAGGGCATGGCATTTCTCAAAAGTATTGGGAATTACAACTGAATTCTTCTCATGATCAATCAATTTTTCAAGAAACGTGGACTAGGATCTTTTTTGGTTACAATTCCTAGAAAACCATTATCTTCTATTTAAACAATGAGGCATGGTTATGGATTACAAAAATGGCACCCAAAATTAGAATGACATTGTAAACTCACTACTATTGACTCATTGGTTTGGGTGCACAAATGAGCTATGATTGGGATTATGAATAGACTTTATAATGTTTATCAATTTCACTTTTCTAATGGCATTTTTTCTTTACAGTTTTGTACATAAATGTTCAATAGAGGACTTGCTATATAGATGAATAAATAGATGGCAGTTGTAGTTTTGGTCAGGCCAGAATAGTATTCATAATAGGGAATTTAAGCTTGCATATAAATTTGAAACGCCAACCTATACGTATGACCAATCCCCCACATACAAATGCATCACTTAAATATTTTCTGTTCATATTTAGGTTGTGAAAAACATTGCAAGCTTAAACTCCCTATTATGGGGACAACTGACAAAGGTATCTAATTTCCTGATTTATCAAATATTTCCAATTGATGTCAAACTCCATTTGTAGTGATCTCCTCAGCATCAAAGCAAGTGGTCACAGATTTTAAAAACAGGCTTGCACCCACCTTAGAATTATCTCGCCTACTTGAAATTTTTGACCAATTTCGTTCTGAATCGTTCAGATCATTTTGCTCTTAATTTGAAAAAAGTGGTTTGAATGGAAAATTATCAAATGGAAAATCATCAAATGAAAAAAAATTGTAGGAGACTGCTAAGCTATAAAGCAAAGCCTCTATTGTCAGTGGGTTGAATAATTGCTTTTACTATTATATAACACTTAAATTCTTGTGAAATTAATAGAAGGTCATGATTTGCATGTAAAAGAGTATGACATAGGGACAAGATGAAGGTGCATAGGAACACGATCGAGAGTTGATTAAGGGACATGTTCAAGGGTTGATGAAGGGACATGATCAAGGGTTAATGAAGGGACATGATCAAGGGTTGATTAAGGGACACGATCAAGGGTTGATGAAGGGACATGATCAAGGGTTGATGAAGGAACGTGATCAAGGGTGATAAAGGGACATGATGGAGGTTTGATGAAGGGACATGATAGAGGGTTGATGAAGGGACATGATCAAGGGTTGATGAAGGGACATGATCAAGGGCTGATTAAGGGACGAGATCAAGGATTGATGAAGGGACATGATCAAGGGTTGATGAAGAGACATGATCAAGGGTTGATGAAGGGACATGATCAAGGGACGAGATAAAGGGTTGATGAAGGGACATGATCAAGGGTTGATGAAGAGACGTGATCAAGGGTTGATGAAGAGACATGATCAAGGGTTGATGAAGGAATGTTATGAAAGGACATGATCAAGGAATGTGATCAAAGGTTGTGATGAAGGGACATGATCAAGGGGTTTGGTGAAGGAATGTGATCAAGGGATGTGATGAAGGGACATCAAGGAGTGTGATGAAAGGATATGGTCAAAGTATGTGATGATGGGACATTAGGTCAAGGGGTGTGATAAAGGGTTATGATCAAGAAGTGTGATGAAGGGACATCAAGGAGTGTGATGAAAGGATATGGTCAAAGTATGTGATGATGGGACTTTAAGTCAAGGGGTGTGATAAAGGGTTATGTTCAAGAAGTGTGATGAAGGGACATCAAGGAGTGTGATGAAAGGATATGGTCAAAGTATGTGATGATGGGACGTTAGGTCAGGGGGTGTGATAAAGGGTTATGTTCAAGAAGTGTGATGAAGGGACGTCAAGGAGTGTGTTTTAGGGCATGGTAATGTATGCAATAAACAGGGAATATTTATATATGGAAACAGATGTAAAAATATTAATGAATATTATGAGTTACATATTTTAATAAATAAATGTTTAATCAGGGACTTGCTTGTTTATTTCTATGATTAAAAATAATTATGCACAGAAGTTACCTCATTAAAATGAAATCAAGCAAAGCATGATTATCTAAAAAAGGGAATTGCCCCACATTATATAATGACAACCCAAAACTACAATTATTTTGTCTTTAACTTCCAACTTCAGTATTCCATTCCATTGTACATGTGGTTAACAATCTCTTTACTCATATATTCTGAATATTCTTATATTCATTTTTCATAAGCTATTTTTCTGTTAAAAATGGACCACTCACAACAAGATGTTCCAAGATTTGAAAATGTTAAAAATCTATGGGTTTTTTTCTTGAAGGAGAAAAATGTTGACATATGAGAGACTTTCACACAACATTTTTAGCTCAACATATCTAAAATTTATAACACATTCTCCAGATTTATGGATAAGCCATTTTGTTTTATTGAAATAAAATGTGGTTTTTTAAAGTTTTTTTATTATCATTTAAACAAAACAAATTACAAACACAGCAAGGGCCGAAGCAATGCATTATTGGCCCTGGTAGTCAAGAATTTAAATAATGTAAAGTGAAGTTGCAATGAGATTTAAGGATCAACTCGGTAATGCAGAACAGTATATAAAAATAAAAACTTACTCATTTAAAATAGTAACAATTAACTGCAGAAAACCTGCAGTCATTTCAACAATTTTCTGATTTGTCAGATACGATAATGAGCAATCACCGTATAACAAATAATTTACCCTGTCTTGCTGTCTGAGTTGACCAAACACGGTTAAATCAAAGGATGGCAGTTCCCCAAGTTCTTCCAAAAACAAGTTTCGCTGAACAATGAATAGAGGGCAGTGTAATAATAGGTGCATTGTAGACTGTGATCTAAAGCCACAATTACAACTTGGAATATCAATGTTTCTAAAATTATGTGTGAATAAATGCTGCCTAAAAATAAAGTCACATCGAGTCTTATTCAAAGTTGATTCAGTCTTCCTATCAAGATGCAATTTTGGAGTAGGTAGCTTTATTTTAGAATTTTGAATATGTTTCCTCAGGTTAAACTTAAAACAATTTCTAGATTGGATAGCTTTCAAATCACCAGGCAGTTTCTCCCATGATGTTATACAAGATATCACTGTACCCTTTCTGATCTTGGCCTTACAGTGAGCTGGTATTCTAAAAGATCTGACTCTGCGTAACCGATTTCCATTATTCATTACATTATGATTTCTATATAAAGAAAAGGCCTGGTTTACATAGGAAGGCATTTTGTTGTTATTTATGACGTCATAAGTAAACAATAGTTTCTTTTCATCCCTCCTGGCCCCTAGGGACCTCCAACCTAAGCATGAGGTGACTTTGGTTGCATTTGTACCTTGGGTACATCCACTGACAATCAATGCTGCCCTATACTGAATACTATCCAATTTAGAAAGTAAATTTAAGTTTGCACAATCAAAAATGATATTCCCATATTCTAAGTGAGGTAGTATAAATGCCATATAAATCTTCTCTAGATGTTGTGATCTTAAGTTATGTTTTAGTGCCATAAGTGGGTTCAACATCCTGTTACATTTAACAATTATACTGTTAATGTGTTCTTCAAAGTTTAAAGCCTTGTCTAGAATAAGTCCAAGATGTTTGTGACTATTGGTGAAAGGGATAGAGTCACCATTTAACACAATAGGAATTTGAGCAATTGGAGTTCTAGTTTTGGACTGGAAAAACACTTCCTTACTTTTACTTGTCTTAAATTTTAATTGCCAAGTCTTTGACCAGATCTCTATTCTATTAACATCGCTTTGGAGTTTTAGATAAGTTTCATGAACTGAGTCCTCCTTTTTGACAGGTAGAAAAATTGAGCTATCATCAGCATAAAGGTACAGAGTGCTATTTAAAACTGCATCAGCTAGGTCATTGATATAAAGTAAGAAAAACAGGCGACCTAATATTGACCCTTGAGGAACCCCACAATTTATTACTCCTTTGTCAAACCCCCCTAAATCCCTTCCTCCTGTCCCTAGAATCCCTTCCATTGTCCCATCAATATTGTCATATAGAGTATCTGAATTTATTGAAGTTGTACCATTCACCCTAACTTTTAATTTTCTGTTATTAAGGTAGGACCCTATCAGATTAATAATGTTCTCACAGATACCGTATGATTTTAGCTTATGGAGAAGTAAGTAGTGGGGGACGCCGTCAAACGCACCCTCAATATCAAGAAAGATCCCTCTAGTAGAAATATTATGGTCAAAATTTGAAGTAATCATATTTACAATAGATACAAGTTGTTTCTGAGTGTCATGCCCAGGTAAAAACCCGGATTGGTTCTGATACAAAAGATTGTTAGATGACACATGTTTGAATATTGAATCATATATGACGCGTTCAAAAATTTTGGAAATATTACTTAAAAGGCAAACTGGCCGATAGTTCCCTGGGTCAACTTTTGAGGATTTATTTTTGAAAATGGGGACAATAATGCCCTGCTTCCAACAATTAGGAAATTTGCCTTTAGTAAGAATGAGTTTAAAAAGTTTATGAAGTTCTGCATCAAGTGAATCTGCCACCAGTTTAAGCATTTTATTTGTAATGTTATCATCACCCCCCTTTTTGTTTGATTTAAGCTCCCTCAAATGTTTATTTATTGACTGCTGTGAAAGATCAATTTCATTTAGCATGTTATCAGTTTTTCTTTGACAAGTTGGTAAAGTTTGATCAACAATGTTGTGATGAAATTTCTGTAAAAATTGATGGAGAAATGCATTAGCTTTAGCATGGTCATCTTCAATGATCGTCCTGTTAATCTCTAAAAAAGGAATTCCTGATGCAAATTTAGAACCTATTAATTTTTTAATGATGGTCCAATAATTTTTCTTACTAGCTGCCTCTTCATCAAGATTACTGCACATCTTGTCCTGATAACTGGTTTTTGCATGAACAATTGCATCTGAGACTAAATCACATTGATGTTTAAATGTTGTGAAGTTAAAATCATTTCTATTCTTAATTAATTTTCTATACAATTTATCTTTCTTATTTAATGCTGATTTCACTTCATGTTTAAACCAGGGCATATCACTTTTCTTTATAAATTTCACTTTGGATGGAATATAAGTTTGAAAAATCTCAAACAATGCATTGGTAAAATTTACAGTGACAGTATCAATGTCTTTGTGAGATAAAAGTGCATCCCAGTTAAAATCAGATACAGCTTGATTCAACTGTAAAATGTTAGCATCACTGTAATGCCAGATCTGCTTATAATCCCCTGCATGTCTATCAGGCAGAGAGAAATCTAAAAGTGCTGAAACAGAGCTATGGTCAGAACCCCCAATTGGCAGTTTTACCTCAGATTTTAATACCTTTCCAGGAAAATTTGAGAAAACTAAATCCAAACATGAGCTAGAAGTGGCTGTAATTCTAGTAGGCTCCTCAATGAATTGGGTCAGAGAATTATTCACAGCTCACATCATAAAGCATATTTCCTTCTAAAGTATTAGTATCACCAACCCACCATTTTTGACTTCTTGAATTAAAATCACCACCTTAAATGTGGTTGCTGATATGTTCTAGGTAACTTGTGCAAAACCTCTCTATTGTCATGGGCACTGTTTTTGTGACCATCGTTTAGTGTCAGCATTTTGCATCTCATCATACTTGTAGTTGTAATTGCAAAGAGGTGCTGAAATTAATTAACATAGTAATGCCTAATGTTTAAGAAAATAGGCTTGAGAATACATTCTGAAATCGAGTGGAATTGCTTTGGTCCTCCCTTTAAATCATTCGCTACGGAGGATGTGATATGACGTCATAAAACACATTTGTCGACTACGAAGGATGTGATATCACGTCCAAGCGCCAAAGTATTTTTTGGAATCTTATAACCATGACAACTTATAAAATGGGACTTAAAAACCTGTTGATTCTGAAAGAGTATAGCATATACTTTTAAATGATATATAACACTGTATTACATACCTACATGTAGCGAAGCATTTGTATGGAAGTCAATGGGAAAGTTAGCGAGCTATATCCACCGATATTGCCCGATTACCCCGATATAGCCCGCTTACCTCGTTTTGATATTAGATTTCTTTAATAACCATGATAATATCATGACGTCACGTCATTGATAAAAAGTAACCATGGGAACAAAGGCATGTAATACATCAGTTATGTCACTATGACGTGAAATATGCCTTCGTTCTTGCCCAAATATAGAGCCTCCCAAGGTCGGCCTATATTGGGAGAACTCAGGCATATTTCACGTCATAGTGACATAACCTCTAAATATATGTATGCCCATGTAAATAATATATATATTATCTCAGAGGTACGATATATGGCAATTTTCAAAAATTCATCAGTATTGTAGTATTTTTTGAAATTAAAACTTTTTTCAAATTTTGTTTTTAGGTGGAAGGGGACTAAGATCACTTATAATTTCTTTAAAGAGGATGGAATTATCTTGAATTCAAAGATGAACATCTAGGTATTATCATTACACAAGGATAGGTTCACTTTGAATCATGGGTAATTTTCTCCTCATGCATTTACTTTCAGCATAGCTATGGAAAAATGCCCTGGTAGATACTGTGGAAGGAGGCTACTAGAGAATGGTTCCCTGGGTGACTGTGGGGCCTGTGAGTGGGGCTATAAAGCAGTGAATTCACTATGTACTCTGTGTGAAGATGCCCCAACATTCTATGACTGGCTCTATCTTGCCTTTATGCTCATTGCTACACTTGCTCTTCATTGGTTCTTTATCGACTACACAAACAAGAAAAAAAGGTGAGCACTAAAATTGAAATTTTTGACTTCTGCTTGCATATATATTTTGGTATAGGATCAGGCCCTTTTCAGAAAAAATTCCAGGGGGGTTCACTTTATCAAATTAGGCACAAAACCATATGAAAACTGGTCAGATTCATGAAAACTGCATAATTTTGAAAGAAGTTGGCCAGGGGGGTTCGCCCAAACCCCTTGAAACCCCCCCCCCCCCTATGGGCCTGAGGATTTTCATTCAGGATGTTTTTTATATAAAAGTTGTTTGCAAAAACAGCAGATTTGAATAGATAACCAAATACAGTATATGCTAATGGAAGATTGAATCAATTCCTATGGTGTTTAGGGCTCTTTGACTCTTGATTTTATCCATGACTCTATATTTTTGCAATTTTCTTTCAGTCGAGGTCTGATTGTACTTCATATATCTGCTCTACTGGAATGTGTGCTTGCTGCTATCTGTGCCCTGCTTGTTATGGACCCGAAAGGCTCACCAAGAATCAGGTAATTAGGTTTTTCATGTCATAACCAGAAGTAGCTCCCATGATACAATTGGTATCAATTCCCCTTAGCTTTCCCCACATGGTTCATCAAGCCTTTTATGGATCTATCACATGACATTCATGATGGTGGACAACTGTAAATTCGATTCTTATATGGTCCTATTAGCCTTATATGGATCTATCACGTGACATTCATGATGATGGACAACTGTAAATTCGATTCTTATATGGTCCAATTAGCCTTATATGGATCTATCACATGACATTCATGATGATGGACAACTGTAAATTCGATTCTTATATGGTCCTATTAGCCTTATATGGATCTATCACATGAGATTCATGATGATGGACAACTGTAAATTTGATTCCTATATGGTCCCATTAGCCTTATATGGATCTATCACATGTACCATGTGACCAAATACCAACTTTGAAATCTCTCTGTCATACCAAGAAGTTGTGACATATTGTAATAGCTACCAATGTTTGTGACTATATTCTACTACCATTATGCAGTTGGTGTCTGTAATAAATCATCACTTTTGTAAAATATTTGCAATAACTTAACGTTGTGGTGACATTTTGTCGTGTTAATGGCGCTAATGCCTTGTTTGCCTATTGGTTTATTGAAAAAATCAGAAATCACTGCATGTACAGTAGTAATAGTATGTCATTTACAATAGTAAGAAATATAGTATAACAATACTAACATGAAATTGCTCTCTAATAATAAATGATTATCTTAATCTATTTCCTTACTTTTAATACATTAAAACCTGTAACGGGACCTCCCTATCTGAAAACCTCTCAATCCAAACACAATGTTTAGTCCCATTTTCTTAATCTATGATAGAATGCCATTCTAGGAACCCATGTTAAATTTATTTGTAAATTATTTCCTCTGCTGCAGGTCATGCAATGTCAACAAGCTGTCAGACTGGTACACCATGCTGCATAATCCCCATCCAGGCTATACTACTACACTGCATTGTACACAGGAGGCTGTTTACCCATTGTAAGTCACACATTGTTGCATCACACTCGTTTTATACTAGAAAGTAAAAGTCCCCATATAAACTTTAAACCACTTCGACTTATATTGTAGTCTTACCCATGTTTTCAAAATGTGATATGTGAATTTTTTTGGGCTCAAAAAGTAGTTTTTGAAGGAATTTTTTCTCACAACTCTTGAATTTATTTAAACTTTTTAGAGGTCACACATATCTTTTAATAAGCAATAGCTACAAATCTGGCATTTAACATCAATGCAAAAATTAGCTGTGATTGTTCATTGCATATGCAATATATTAATTGCATATGAAATATATTAAGAATGTGCTTTTGTAAACCTAAAGTTACAGTAAAACCTGTCTATAGTGAACACCTATGGATCCACAAAAAAGTTTTCTCTGTTGGTAGGTGTTCACTACAGCGGGGATTTTATACAGGAGTAAATGTAAAATGTCTCTTGAAATGGGTGTTCACTAGAGAGAGGTGTTCACTAACACAGGCTTTACTGTAGGTATGTGTCTCAAGTGGAACCTCCCGCACATACTCTATTGACTTCTGTATAAATTACCCTCTCTGTAGGGAACACCTACCAACACTGAACATTTTTTCATTGGCAAATGTTCAATATACAAGCTTTATTGGACGGGAAAATGTACAATTTTCTTAACTCGATTTATCATACACGATTGAACAATTGCTATGTAACATCTAAATAAATAAGGTACAGTAGATAAATAACATCCTTTAATGTACAAACACTGTATTTATTTTCATGGTTTACTCTGTTGTTTCATTTTTCTTGTTTCATGTTAACATCGTTAAAAATACATCATTTTGCATAACAACATGTTTTGATCCAAATAAGGTTCTTGGCATAATAGAATTACTGTAGATTGGGTTAATTTGGCGCCCGCTTAAATTTGGCGAATTTGGCGAATTTGGCGAAATTGAAAAATTCGCCAATATAAATCTTCGCCAAAATTTAGGATGAATCCCCGGGGAATTATCTAGGGTATTTCATCCAGTGTATTTAGGTCAATTCCGGTTTAGTTTTTTCCAAAAATATGAATAAATGTCTCTCATAAATTGGCTCAGAACTGGTCAGTTCCTCATTAATACTCTGGGAAAACTAGAAAGGAAAAGTGCGGTACAGTAGCAGTATCAATCGAGGTGCAAAATATAAAGGACGATCTCACAAAAATGTACAAACGTGGTGAATATCGCCAGTGGTCCTCAAAAGAAAAAATGAACATAGCCAAACATCTTACATGGTAATTCTCAAACAGAGCGTAAGTTAATTAAAAAAAATTTTCCTTTGCATATCCACCAAATTAAAAAGCCGCCAATATGCCAAAAATGGTAAAATCGCCAAATTAAGTAGCGCCAAATTAACCCAATCTACAGTATCAATTGATTTTTTTCAGCTCTTTACACACAAATAAACATGTTTTTTTGCACAAAAACAATGTTTTTGGTGATCAGTCAACCAAATATTGTATTTATTACCAGAAATTTTCAAAATGGCAGCTAACACAAAGGAACAGTTAGAGTGAATGTGTTCAGTGATATTGATTTGCACGACTATGATTTTAAGGTGATTGCCATATTGTTATAAATTCTATGGAAGTTTCAAATACAATGTGCGATAAAATTAAATGTACAATCTTGCTCGCTCACTCGAAACCCAGTGGAATACAGTTTGACGCCAAAGTTTGTTTCAACAAACATGTGCAAAGTATATCTCACAAACCAACTCCATAAGCTTAATGGTAGGGCCTTTCCATTTTTGATACTATTATACTTTATTAACAATCCTAGATGTAATGATGAGAATGATTAAATAATCACTAAACACAGTACCTTGTTTCTGTGGTTTCAGACTTCACTTGTCTCTTCTATCACATTTATGTTATCCTTGATGCCTTTGTCAGTCTTATGACATAACTCTCCACTTGTCTGTTCCATCACATTATCATTGTAAATCTCTTGTTTTAGTTCCACATTCTCAGTTATCCATCTTTCAGTCAGTGTCTCTATGGCACTTTGAATGTTCCTAAACCCCCTTCGCATATCTTTTCCTAATTTCTTTGCATCAGACAGCACAATGAGTCCAATAAAGATAACCATGAAAAGTAGAGGAGGTGTTCCAACTATACCAGCATACTTTGCCTCTTCTGGTTCCACTTCCATTCTCTTAATAGGTACATAGACTTCAGGTTTTTCATCATCTTCAACAATATCCTTCAGAAAAAACTGATTTTGAGGTTCTTGGTTTTTCCGAGATGATGTTGTTGAAATTTGGTCAGTTGTTGTTGTTTGTTGGGAAATTTCTATTGTTCTTGCATCATTTGTTGATGGTGGTTGGCCACTAGCCTCAGTAGTCATGCCATTTTTTGTTGGTTGGGCACTAGCCTCAGTAGTCATATCATTTGTTGTTGGTTGGGTACTAGCCTCAGTAGTCATATCATTTGTTGTTGGTTGGGCATTACCCTCAGTAGTCATATCATTTGTTATTGGTTGGGCACTAGCCTCAGTAGTCATATCATTTGTTGTTGGTTGGTCATTAGCCTCAGTAGTCATATCATTTGTTGTTGGTTGGTCATTAGCCTCAGTAGTCATATCATTTGTTGTTGGTTGGTCATTAGCCTCAGTAGTCATATCATTTGTTGTTGGTTGGTCATTAGCCTCAGTAGTCATATCATTTGTTGTTGGTTGGGCACTAGCCTCAGTAGTCATTTCATTTGTTGTTGGTTTGGTTCTAGTTGCCATAGTAACAAATGACTCTATGGTAGTTAGCTCTGGAATAGATGAATAAATCATTAAATAAGCAATGTGCTTGTACTCATTTTCTGTGACATGAATAAAAAAGGAAATTATTATTTGCAGGCGATTCACCATGTTTTTCAAATACAAATTGAAATAACCTAATAATAAGGCAGACCCTTATGTTTGAAGTTTGACAGACATCTCTTACTGCTTAAGTTATGAAATGAATTAAATGCAGAAATGGTAAAGATTCTTTCCAAATCCAAAAATGATATGAATATCAGCATTAAAAGACAATATGTAAAAACATTAATTGATGGATCCATTCTTTAATGAATTAACTCCTGATACTGCAAAACATTAAATACACTTACCTACTAAGAAGGGGCATCCCATGACATCAAACATCAGTGGTGAATGATATTCCCAAAACATAGGATTAATGCGCACAAATCGGGCTAACACCGGTGGTTCAATCGGTTTAATAACTTTGGTGTTATAATCATTATTCACTTCTAGAATCTAAAGACAAGAAAATTCAGTGTGAACTATGATACTTTTGATTTTCACCTATTCATAAGTCATTCAAAAATTTACTAAAACCTGCATGGCTACTCAATTTTAATTCATTTCATAACAGTGATACAAATATAAAGTTTCTATTTCTTAATCTATAGAACAAGGATGTATAAAATGAGACATGATAAAAACTTCTCTGTATGGGATAAATAAGGGTTATGTACTGGGAGGTTTTGGATATGGGGTTTATCTCCCTAAAACTCTACTTGGCATAGGATAAAAGGTTCTATTACCTGTCCATACTCTTTTAAATTTTCTTCAGTTTCACCATATAGAAATGTGTATGTGAACCAGTAATGCTCCCTTCCTTGGGTTATCACACCTGTTATAAACATAACTTCATCAAGGTCTGCTTGTATCCACTGCTGACCAGTCAACTCATACTTGTTAGGAAGCCAGCCAGCCCCCAAGTTACCCCTGGAAATAACAATTGCATTTTGTCTTGCATTGTTTGCATTTTGCCTACTTATTTTTTCATATATTTTTGTCACATGTAAAAATAGACAAAGCATGAAAAGGCTAGGAAAATAACTTCAATTTTCACTAAATTTTCCAATTGCATCATTTAATCTCAAGAATTATTTTTCTTTGTTAGGGATCGTATCGTATCTGTATTGACATACAGTGAAGCCTGTTTAAAGCCAAACGCCTATCTAATCAGGACACCTACCAATGTGAAAACTGACTTGTATATTTGAAAAACACCTGCTAATCTGGACACTTTTGGCCAGTCTCGGTGGCATTTAGCTTGGACAGATTTTACTGTCATGTATTTGTGTTCTGATTTAGATTATGCGAGGAGTGATCAATAAGTAATGGATGCTTTTTCACAAGGATGCTTTTTATTGACCAAACTCTGATTTTTTTACCAATAATGAATCATGTCCATTACTTATTGATCACCCCTCATACATCCTGAGAACGAAATGTGATATACATACTCTTTTTTGGTGTCTAGCCTAGATCTGGCTGGGGGATAACTGATTTCAAAATCTGTGGAGGAACTATTATAGAAACTCGATGCAGTTATCTTTTCATCACTAACATTGTAAATTTTCCCAGATATGAGAAGTTCATTGCAGTTGGCTGAAACAGATGTCAATATCAATATGTGTTAACAATCAGCAGAAATGAGAAGTCCATTGCAGTTGGCTGAAACAGATGTCAATATCAATATTTAGTGACAATCAGCAAATAAGAGAAGTTCATTGCAGTTGGCTGAAACAGATGTCAATATCAATATGTGGTGACAATCAGCAGATATGAGAAGTTGATTGCAGTTGGCTGAAACAGATGTCAATATCAATATGTGGTGACAATCAGCAAATATGAGAAGTTCATTGCAGTTGGCTGAAACAGATGTCAATATCAATATGTAGTGACAATCAGCAGATATGAGAAGTTGATTGCAGTTGGCTGAAACAGATGTCAATATCAATATGTAGTGACAATCAGCAGATATGAGAAGTTCATTGCAGTTGGCTGAAACAGATGTCAATATCGTATGTAGTGACAATCAGCAGATATGAGAAGTTCATTGCTGTTGGCTGAAACAGATGTCAATATCAATATATGGTGACAATCAGCAGAAATGAGAAGTTCATTGCAGTTGGCTGAAACAGATGTCAATATCAATATTTAGTGACAATCAGCAGATATGAGAAGTTCATTGCAGTTGGCTGAAACAGATGTCAATATAAATATTTAGTGACAATCAGCAGATATGAGAAGTTCATTGCTGTTGGCTGAAACAGATGTCAATATAAATATATGGTGACAATCAGCAGAAATGAGAAGTTCATTGCAGTTGGCTGAAACAGATGTCAATATAAATATGTAGTGACAATCAACAGATATGAGAAGTTCATTGCTGTTGGCTGAAACAGATGTCAATATCAATATGTAGTGACAATCAGCAGATATGAGAAGTTCATTGCAGTTGGCTGAAACAGATGTCAATATCAATATGTGGTGACAATCAGCAGATATCTGTCTTTCTCAAAATGAAAATTGCAATTAAATCAAAAAAAACTTGTATCCTGGTATGATGACAATGAAAATGAAAATTTTTTAATTACTATTTTAATCATATGCTATGACAGCAATGATGAATTAAAAAACTTACTTTTCTTTGAAAATATCTATGTTTGAAAGTGTAACACCAATGCTGAAAGGAATTTGAACTATTATGGTTTATTATCACACATCATATATTTTATTGGCTTTGATTAAAAAGACTTGCTTGCATGGTCGATGATAATCTGTTTCAATATTTGTCCGTGTCAGACATGTTTTTGATTAAGAAAGGCATCATTGACATAAATTACAAATGTCAGTTGTAAAGTTCCTCAAATTCAGTAAAACATAGTAAATATTTAAGACACTAAACAAGTCTTTAGACAACAAAGTTTATAACTTATTTTGTGATTGTTAAAGAAATGTACAGTTGAGCTTGTGTGCAGTATAACTCTCTCTGTCTTGAAGGTATTAACTAGAAATAAATTATTCATTTTAAATTAAAGGACGATTCTCGGTTTGGAGAACAGCCTCCTGGGCTAAAAAAATTTCAATGAAAAATATAGAAATATTACCCAAATTAAACTATGAATATTCAAAAGAGGACATTTAAATCTACAAGATGTAAAAATAACAAATTGGTCTGAAGCAGGGATAATGCTCAAATAGACCGATTCAATAAAATACAAGTCTCGATTTGGGGAAAGAAGTTCATCAGTGTACCGCGCTAATATTTTTTTGCGAAAAATCTAGAAATATTACCCAAATTAAATTATGACTATTCAAAAGAAGACATTCAAATCTATATTATGTTAAAAAATCAAATTTGTCCGAAGCAGGGATAATGCTCATTTAGATTGATGAACTTCGTTCTCCAAACCGAGAATCGTCCTTTATTTAAATTTATTCATTTTAAATAAAATAAATTATTCATTTTAAATTAAACAAATAATTCCTTTTAAATGAAATGAATTATTCCTTTTAAATTAAATAAACTATTCATTTTAAATTAAACAAATAACTATTCATTATAAATTAAATAAATTATTCATTTTAAATTAAATAAATTATTCATTTTAAATTAAACAAATTATTCATTTTAAATTAAATAAATTATTTCTTTTAAATTAAATAAATTATTCATTTTAAATTAGATAAATTATTCATTTTAAATTAAATAAATTATTCATTTTAAATTAATATAAATTATTCCTCTTAAATTAAATAAATTATTCATTTTATTTTTTGTTAAAACAGATATCTTATTCTTTTCAAATGATTTTGAACTACATTGTAAAACTTACCTGATCCTGTAGATAGTTGTGTCATAAAACTCCAAAAAATCGTTAAAACATATATTAAATTCACATTCATTTTGTTAATTCATAAGCCTTATTCAATGATGAAAGTTTTTTTTACATTCATCTTTATTTTTATTAAACATTTAATTATTCCGAGAATTCCAATGATTGTTTAGATTTGCTTGTTTTGCATTTTATAAACTTATTTTAGATCATACATATGAATGTTTAAATGTTTGGGATGCTTTGGTATATCCCCTGTATCCATAATAATATGATAGGTATACTTAGTTGTTGCCTAAAAGGGTCGGTGTGGGTCTCAGGAGATTTCCATCTGTCATGCAACCATTGGGTTTATATAGAAAATGTGCCTTTGTTAAGAAAAAGTGCTGAGATTATCAATGTATGTGTGATATTAGTTAATGAAAACACAAAATGAAATCCTTTTGTTCTAATTACATGACAGTCAATCAGTCTTATATACATTGTGTGTTTTTAATGAATTATTGATGGAGTTGTGAGTGGAATCTCATTCTCTTTTAACACTTTTTCATAAAATAAAACCAAGAAGTATTGACATTTTGACATTTAGTTATGATTTTGGAGATGAGACCTCACTTGGATTTGATCATATTTATCCCATCGAACGAAGTTCGGAGGGATATAGGGAACGCCTCCGTCCGTACGTCCATCCATCCGTCCGTCCGTCCGTCCGTCTGGGCAATAACTCAAATACCGTTTGTCCGATTTTGTTCATATTTTGTACACATATACCCTATGGGGGTAGAAGTTCTGCTCGAAAGCCAATTTTCAAAAAGCCATTTTTGTGCCGATTTTACAGTTTTTAATTTAGGTGCAATATGTAAAACTGTAATAGCAATATGTTTTAAATGTAAAAAAATTATAAAGGACATTAATAAAGCTACAAATTAAAAAAGCACATGGGAGCCATCTTGAAAAATGGCGGTTTTACTCGTTATTCTACAATTTTTGCTGTAGCGCGAAAAGTAGTAGAGCGATTTTGTTCATATTTGGTATGTGAATACTATAAACATTGCACACTGTCTCAAGACACTTTTGGTAGAAGGCGGTCATTTTGAAAAATGGCCGCCATTTTAACGTATTTTACTATAACTCGAAAAGTAGTGGAGCGATTTTGTTCATATTTGGTATGTGAATACTATTAGCATGGCACACTGTCCTATGACACTTTTGGTAAAAGACGGCCATTTTGAAAAAAAAATTGAAAAATGGCCGCCATTTTAACGTAATTTACTATAACTCGAAAAGTAGTGAAGCGATTTTGTTCATATTTGGTATGTGAATACTATAAGCATGGCACACTGTCTAATGACACTTTTGGTAGAAGGTGGCCATTTTGAAAATTAGCCGCCATTTTAACGCATTTTACTATAACTCGAAAAGTAGTGGAGCGATTTCGTTTATATTTGGTATGTGAATACTAAAAGCATGGCACACTGTCTAATGACACTTTTAGTAGAAGGTGACCATTTTTAAAAATGGCCCCATTTTAACATATTTTACTATAACATGAAAAGTAGTGCAGCGATTTTGTTCATATTTGGTATGTTTCATATTATATATGTGAATACTATAAGCATGGCACACTGTCTAATGACACTTTGGGTAGTAAGCGGCCATTTTGAAAAATGGCCACCATTTTTACGTTTTTTACTATAACTTGAAAAGTAGTGAAGCGATTTTGTTCATATTTGATATGTGAATACTCATGAGCCTTGTACACTGTCTCATGACACTTCGGATATTAGGCGGCCATTTTTAAAAATGGCTGTCATTTTTACATTTTTTACTATAACTCGAAAAGTAGTGGAGCGATTTTGTTCATATTTGATATGTGAATACTCTAAGCATGGCACATTGTCTATTTAAAACTTTGGGGAGTAGTCGGCCATTTTGAAAAATGGCCACCATTTTTATGTGTTATTTTACAAGTACATGTGTGCGATTTTTCAAAAATTTTATAGGTGGCTACTTAAAAGCATATTATTTCTTCTGATGACAACTTGGCTATAGTGAGCAACCATTTTGAAAATGGTGGCCTTTCTGGTGTGTTGTTTTATGATATTTGCTATATATTTCGTTTGTAAAAATGCCAGCCATTTCTGTTCGATGGGATTCGCTACGCTTTGGCGTTGCCGTTGTTCTGGTTTTAAAGGTTGATTGTAGGAATTCTACCCAAGGAGCTGTTTCTAATATGGCATCATGTTGACCTGTTATTGATGGCTTTAGATAGAGATAAAATGACTAAATGAAACAAAACTACTATACCTGGTTATGAGTGATATGATATGTTTTGTTCAGTGGAGTCTGGTACTCCTATTAGTTGCTGATTTTCCAGTTTGTATTTTCAGGTACACCATTGTAATGATATTCTTGACCTTTGACCTGGTGATGTTGATGCTGGTGCGCCCTCTATTGTCCACACTTTGTGTTAAGAGGAAAGGAACGGGGTCCATATATGCTGCATTGTACTTTCTACCCATACTAGTTGTTGTCCAGGCTGTATGTGGAGGCCTCATTTGTAAGTAGACTGCACATTTATGTTTATTTTTTATAAACTATTTTTACTCCTTATGTATTTTCATGTATTATTCAATTCTTCATTATTTCAATGCAATAAAAAGATGCAAAATTGCTAAAATTTGTAGATTTCTGTAATTTTTAACTATAGAAGGAGCTATAACAACATATGCTTTTTAGAAATATTACCCCGTGTAACACCGATTATAAAAAAACATACATTTTGGCCATAATTTATGTTTATATTTTTCAGATTATTCTTTCCCCTATATTACCCTTGTTGTGTCAGTGATCACCATAGCGATGCATTTTGCAAGCTTTCAAGAACAGGTGCGTACCACAGATTACTTTGATTGAAATCTTTTTTCTTTGTAAGCACTTAATTCTTCAATTAGCCTTTCCCAAGTCGGTATCTTTTTACTTATCTGATCTTGGATTCTTCAATAGAACTTTCAAATAGATCCTGATCTCATTTGTTGAACCAAAGAAAAGGGATATTTTGGCAACATCAAAAAAAGGTTTAAGAATGACATATGTGGCATTATTTGTAGAATTGGTCTATAACAAAATTACTCCAAACATTTCAAGAGAGTGTTTTTTTGTCATTTCCCAAAATTTTGAATTTGCTCTATTTTCAGTAAATCCCTTATTTCATTAATAAAACATATAATTATTTTACCTTCCTTCCTTCTCATCTCAGTTGCATTTCTTTCTGTATTACGTACATGATGTGAAGGAGATTCTCTAGGTCTTACAGTACATTACATGATTATATTCAAAATGCAAATTGAAAAACATAGTTGTGGATGTAAATTGATTTCATGTATTCCAGGAGGCGAAGTCTCTTCTCAAAGTTAATGCAACAAACCCCAGAAACATTTTTATCATTCTTGGCCACTGGGTTATTCATGCTTTTGGAATAGTTGCTGTTACACAGTTCAAGGAGCCTTTACTGCATGGACCCCTCCTACTGGTCATTCCAGTTCCAGCTATTTATTATCTACTGACTGTTAAATTTACTGAACCATCTAGTATCCTGGAGGATCAAAGGTGAATGAGATTGATTGAATTTTCATTAAAAAAAATCCATTGATGAGGAAAGTCAAAAATTTGCAAATTCCTCCAGGGAGAAACAAAGAAGGCGTGCCATCCCAACATGCGATTTCTCTAGGATACTCATTAGACGGAGTAAGATGTACATATTATTGCCAATTTGTATGGCTGTTGATATTGAACGATATGAAAGAAATCAGTGAAATGTCAAACAACACCTAATGAAAATCAGCAAATTTTGAACAATTCAGAAAAGTCTCTTGTTGCTTGATAAGATGTCACAAGCCTGAAAATGTGAATAAAATCAGTAGATAGATTTGTTTTTCATAAACAAACAAAACATGTTTTTTATTGCATACTTGGAAACAAGCATTTTATGGATATAAAATCAACGCAATTTCATGCATGAATTTCTAATTTTTCTGCTCATTTTATGAATCAGATCTACTTTCCTAGTGTACTGTAAATTGAATTAATTGAAAATACTCCAGTTTACACCATTTTCTGGATATTCCTGACTAAATGATTTGGCGATACATGTCATGTTTCAGGATACAAATGTCATGAAGTTATTGAAATAGAATTTAGTGTGTAATTTTTGGCTGAACGCTGAATCGCAATCCTCAACCAAATGTCAGATTAAATTTTTTTTACAGTATTATCTAATATAGTATGGTAGGGAGACTTGTAAATATCAAATGCAATGTTTGTGTTCAACATAGATAAATGGCCTGCTCTTTAATGAGGTAGATCTTTCCACTCTGTTGATTTAGTCTTGATAAACATATTAAATGCACAATAACCAGATCCTGTATACATACTTTCACTATCTGCATTGCTCAGTTATATTATTAGGAGGCCAATTTGTATTTTTTTGAGAGAATTTTTTGTCACTCATAGTTATTCAGTGAAAGAAAAGAGAATGGAATGCCATGAATGATACAACAGATCATCCTATAATGGCTTCATGATATTGTGTTTTTCACTCGAGCATATACATTATACTTAACATGGGATAATCCCAATATCCTCAACCACATATTTATATATTTATTACCTCTTGTTGTCCAAGGCATTAAGTTAATTGGCCTCCGCAAAGTTTAATATGAATTTCTAAATGTACTTTATCTGTCAATGATACTAGGAAATATAATAGAACAGATACACTACTAGATAGTAATTATCAATTAGTGCAAATAATTATGAGGTAATAAATGTGTTTTTCTGTTTATTATTTTCTTGACGTCAAATATTAGTAATATATAATTATTCATTTCTAACATGTCACTCGTTTGATTACAGTTAGCCTAAACAGTTTATTTTTTAAAACATATATATTAATAGGACAATGTATACATTAACAATAAGGCTGTTCATTCTTTATTGTATAGTATCGGGAATTATTAGTGAGAATTTAAAGTGTTGGAATGGAGCCTTGAAATATCCCACTTCTGAAAACTGTACAACCAATCAGGATTGCCCAAATACGTTTGGATGTAAGCGAAGCATTGTGGGAGGGGAATGCTGTCGGTATTGGATACGACGTTACTGTAGCCCTCTAATGAAAGACAAGTTCGAACCACGTGCTTGTGACGTAAAAGGCGCCAAAAAATGTCCTAAGGGCTATAGCTGTGAGGTTATTAACAGGGATAAGTCAAGTGTCTGTTGTAAGAGTGCTTCTTGTATTGATGAGGATGGGGTGAAACACGAGCCTAAGTCACCAAAGTGGCTTAGTAAACATGATAGGTGTAACTGGTGTCGCTGCAAGACTAATGGAGTTATTAATTGTACGGATAAAGCGAGTAAGAAATTTTGAAATAAAATTGTTGATACGACTTTGTATCCGATGGACTATTTCACTAGATTTGAATTTAGCGACAAAAGATACTTTGATCATAAAAATCCATAGAATAAATATGATATCCTTGGAATTTTATTCACCCGTGAATATAGTTTAGGCCTCTGATTTTTTTCATGTAGTGACTAAGAACATGTTGAAAATTTGTACTGCTTAGGCCTATTTCAAACGCACCAAAATGCGAGAGAGTTTCGTACATAAACAGATGATATTTTCTCTTTGTGAATTTATTCAGTTATAACCTCAGACCTTGTCATGTCGAAACTGTTTTTTTTTACCAAAGTACAATGTAATACATTAATCCTAAATATTGAAAGTACTGCGTGCCTACATTTAAAAATGATTGATTTCGTTTACATAATTATACATAACGTCATTACATATTGATACAACAAATGTAATTGTCAAAATCATTTTTATCTACATAATTAACCTGATAACTAGAAAACGACAGCGTTTGGTGCGAACGCCCCCCCCCCCCCTGAAACTGCCTAAAAGATTATTTAATTCGAGCACCAAAAACGACTTCGATGACAAATATTATCTCTGTGGAGCAAGGGTGCATATCCCCAGATCCCCCCCCCCCCCCCCAAAAGGGCAGCCTTTGACCACACAATCACTTCCCGCGCCACTTGTATTATATTGAAAACGCACCCCTTTTTCTCATATGGTCTGAAGCCCCTACGAGTTGTCACCTCCTCATCGATCTATCTTTTGAGGGTGGAGTTGGGAGGGAGCACTTTGAGCGTTTTATTCAAGGCTATATAAATGAAACTAGGATCTCTTTCAGAATGCCGAAAGAACGAGGCTCGTTGTCATACACCCTGTCTTGGGAAGAAAGGTTAGGGATTTAAATCACGATTATAGTTTATGATTGATCTAAGGAGGATTGGCTCAAAGGATTGATTTCAAATTTTAAATCGCGAGTTTTAGTCTCATTACAGAACAAAAAATCAAAACACAAGAATTGATTAAGATATTAGCTCTTGTATTGCTGATTATGAATTTATATTCAGTTTAATTCAGACAATAGGGAGTTTAAGCTTGCAATGTTTTTCACAACCTAAACGTGAACGTAAACTATTTAAGCGATGCATTTGTATGGGCGATTGGCCATACGTATAGGTTGGCGTTTGGATTTTATATGCAAGCTTAAACTACAACGACATTTTGATATTTTAATTTTTGGAAAATATCGAGGTTGCATTCTGAGAGCCAATCCCACTTGTCATTGCTCTCATAGGGATACGCGATCACCACTTTTATCACTTCATTCTTAAAAAGACAAATGTTAACTTTTGTGCCGATGATGTTGCATTTATACTATGGCAAAATTTAGTGGCAGCAAAGAAAATAGAAACTTCAAACTGGATGCAAATATTGCCACGTCAATTCTAACATGAAATTACAGAAAGTTACTTTAAAGTGCTTGTTGCTTGCCTTACTTCTATTGTTGCATCTTTTATCTTTATGGATGAGCTCAGCGCTTTAATATACATACTTCATTTGTGAACTAGGTCCAGCAAGTAGTTATTCCCCGTGTATAGCGGAGAAATGCACCATCAGAGCGCGTGTAAGACCGTGTCTCAATGAGGCTCCATTCAGTGAGACCGTCTGCTCAAATCACGTTATTGAATTCAAGAAATGTAACGCAAAGAAGTGCGCCAGGCCTGGGAAGAAACTAAAAGAAGAAAAACATCATTTACATTTTCGGATAATAGGTGGCACTGAAGTAAAACCGCCCCATAATTGGCCCTGGTTAGTAAACATTAATGTAAAAGGTTGCAGCGGGGCAGTTATAAGTCCAATACATATTCTGACAGCGGCACATTGTGTTATGGACTATAATAACCTAAACGGAATTATTGTTAAAACAGGAAAACATGATATGTCTAAAGTTGAACATCTAGAACAGAAAAGAAACGTCCGAGCTGAGAATATAATGGTCCACGAGGACTATAGTCTCTGGGACAATGATATAGCTATAATTAGAGTGAACCCGCTTGTGTTTGATAAAGGAACTCAGCCAATTCTCCTCCCTAAGGACACAGAAGATGATACATTCCTTGAGGGTACCTCCCCCGGGACGAGGTGTGTCGTTGCAGGGTGGGGACAGGCTAATGACACAGAAGACAGTTTTTCTAACGTACTGAGACAGATAGATCTACGGGTGCAGAAATGTGACATGTCACAAGATGATTATGATTATGTTTCTGATAATGCATTCTGCGCACATAGATCAAGCAGGTGAGGTTTTGAAGCATGTGAAAACGGATTTTTTCATTGCTTCGATTGCTAATTGCACAGTTTCCATTCTTATTAACGAAACTATAAATCTGAAGACGGACGGACGGACGTTGCAATACTTTTCATAATATTATACTTGATCTTCGTTCGGGTAGGAATTTGTAAAAAGGGCATTTTTTGACAGTAAACATTTTATATGATTAGGCCTACTATATCTAGTATTCATTCATTTATATACTGTATTTCCTATTGTTTCTGATTGATGCGGCGCTAGGGCAGTATGTTACGGTGATTCTGGAGGCCCATTCATGTGTTCCGAAGATGGCTCTCATTGGATACAGTACGGCATAGTCAGTTGGGGACTGGACTTGTGCGAGCGATCGACAGTTTATATGAAAACGACAAAATATCTGAACTGGATCAATAAGAAGATCGCAACAAATGGAAGATGGGGTAGTTTCAGCTCATGGACCGAATGCACACCTTGCCCAAGTGGTTATATGTCTCGTGTACGGGTGTGCACAGATCCAGAGCCTATTGGCAATGGAAGGTGCCCTGGGGCTGATGGGCTGGAGTATGTAGATAAAGAGACCGGCTATATTGTAGATCTTGTCACTGTTAAATGTACTTGTAAATAACCCCAATAAATCAAAGCTTTTTTAGTACAATCAGTTCATGAAGTTGTTTTGTCAGTTTAGTGTAACACTGGCCCATTTCATGATCAGGCCTATTAGGAACCATAAAATCAGTGAAATTCACTATCAGTTCCAAGACAAGCGGATCTGGAGGCGAGCGTGGGGTCCCCCCTTAAAAGTCAGAATTTTAACTGAAAATCAAAATACAAAATACAATAGATGGTTATGGATTGTTAATAACGCATCGCACACGCTGAAATCAGACCCGGGAATCGGATCTACGCTTTGAAATTGGTCAGAATGCACAAAATGATGTTCAATTTTCAAAATTTTCTGGGGGGACAACCAGACCCTCTCATGCTCGTTCACGCTCGTTGCACAACATGCTCACTCACTCGCTCACAGTCTCCGAGCCTTTCGTCCAGTGCCATCCGTACCTAGGTAGTGATCGAGGTACGCAACGAACGAAATGAATTTTGAGAATGACTCGCTCACTTAGCCTCCCCCACAGTTATTATCAAACGCCCTCCACTAACACAGAATCCTGGATCCGCCCCGAGTTCATTGATTTGATCTTCATTATACTAGTACGTGAATCAAACCGGCAGCTCCACCATGTTAGGATTTGCTAACTGGGATTGGATATTTACGTACATGTTACTCTGTTCGCGGACTGAAAGTCTTCAGTTTCGTGGTAATTTATAGCACACATTTATAGGCCAGTAGTCACGCACATTAATGGTGCAAATTTTTTGGGGCCAAAAATATGTGGAGCCCTTAAAAATGTCTGGGCCCACAAAAGAAACAAAAAGGGGGGGGGGGGGCGCCAGTGTTACTTTCAAAATATTGACCCTGCATTCCATTTCTCCTTGTAATTTTCGAGTCCATCACTTCTAATTTATTTCATATTTTCAATGGCAACACTACTTTATGCAGATCCTAATGCACAGCCCTGTCAGTGCGTACAAGGCATCGATTTGTTCTAAAAACAACGAACGAGAATGACGTTCGGATAATTAACGTAACCGGAAAGGGAGTAATTTTGAGAATTTTGATTTGTTTATTTCCTTACTACTCCTCTTTATTCAGCCATTGTCACATTCCACACATTTAGAAGAGTGACAACTTCCAGGATGTTGCTAATGCTAGCAGATGAACACAAGGGACACCTTGCGTTTCTATCAACAGTACCGGTTGAAGGTAGGACGTTTTCACAATATTTTTTTCGAGTCTTTTCTTGACTTGAGTCTTCCACGGGAACTTGAATCAACTGATGACTATTGGGCAACCTAGAAGAGAGACCATGCCATGAGTTGATATAGGTTCCTGAATCTTCAATTTCACTCCAAGGGCAATGAGGATTGGCTCAGATATTCAACCTTGCACATGTAAAATTGTAATTTTTTTACAACAACTTGATACCCTGCGTGCAGAGTCTAGTTAAACTACACTCTGCCTAGTAGAGACCATATTACAGTTTAGTAGCCCCGCCCCATGATGGGTACCGGTGACAGTATGGGTAAATCACTTTTCACCTACGGCGCTGACCTTCCACCAATCAGCGAGCTTGAAGAAACATACGGCAAATGCGTTCTAATTAAATATGCGCATGCCATTGGTCAATTCCGGGCTCAACAATGACGTCAGAAGGAATGACCATATATAGAACGTCGGTCAAATTTGGCCGACGAACACTGATTGGCGCGGTGAGTTCACAGGTTTATTTTAGTTTGAAAGAGTGAAGACGAAGCTCTCTTTTAAGAAGTGTAGTCAAACGAATGCAAAGGGTAACAACTTGACAAACCTAGCATTTAATATTCTTAGCTCAATTTGGCTAAACAGTGGCATTCTGTTATACCATGACCTCTTTTCCACAAAGCTCATTATGGTCATCTTGCTTCATCAAACTTTGGACCTGTCATAGTGATTGAGCATAGGAACACTGTATTGTGGTAGCACAAATGTACACATTACATGTTTGTTTTTCAGTTGTAACAGAGTTCTGCAAGATTGCTGTCAAGTTTATCCGCAATGGAAGTAGCAGTAAAGTCTACCAAGCTGCAGCAAGTAAGTGGGCATTAGATCTTACAGGTACTTGTATGTGGAAGTACATGCCTGCATAGGCGTAGCCAGGGGGGGGTGCGATGGGGATGTGGGGGGTGCTCAATTTTGAAGGAAGTTGCATCAATTTTTGTAAAATTCAAAATAAATCCTATTTTTTGGCCTGTTTAAGCCACAATCGCCCCTCCCTGACTGAAAACCAAATTTTGATGATTGCACCCCCCCCCCCTGACTGAAAGCTGGCTACGCCCCTGTGCCTGTATATGAAGCTTCAGCCACAGGGGCTCGGCTGGAGGGTCAGGTAAGCCCTCCGATGTGTCTGTACTTCTCTAAGTAGTTAAAGGTGTTTTTTTTTGTTGATGCTTCCTGAAATTCAATAAGTTTCATGATTCTAAGGGCCTCATTTAAAGCAATGCTGTGTGTTCTATGTATGGATTCAAAATAGACATACATGTACATGTACATCTGAAGTACTACATGTTTTCAACACTGAGAAATCTAAAATGTTGTAACCCAACTTTGAAAACAACTCAATGGGAAAATCCCTTCTATTTAATCAAGGCTAAATACTCTTTATTGTTTTGATTGCTTTTGTGCTTTATATTGCAGATAAGCTTGGTGTGGAAGTTGAAATCGTTGAACACTGTGTGCAGGGACTAATGCATCTCTTAACAGAGAGTACTAAAGTTTTGGTGAGTGTGTGAACATTCCTATTCTGACTTGAAAGACACCACCCTCATCCATCCTCCTAAGCAGGTGTCCAGAATCCGTACCTCCTTCTTCCCCCCTGCTATAATCAATTTGGAAGCGTCCGATTAAACTGAATCACGTGATCTTATTATGTGCAATGACTTATACATGATTTCTGTTGACTGCCAATCAGATTGCGAGTTCTTAATCGGGGAAATGCTAACTGCTTATTGCAGGAGGTAAAAAGAAAGAATATACATGTATTCTGAATATTCTGGATTTTGAAGCCCTGTGATCGGAGGTTGTCCTCCTCGCTCACCACCTTAGCCTAATAAGTAATATACATAAATGGAACACAACTTCCAGTGAGAGATGCTAAAACCCAAAGGTGTTGTTACTACAAAGTATTGGTGGCTTATGCTATCCTGGAAATTTTCAACACATACCAGTGATCTCCACAGGAATTTTTGTGGGTGGGTGCAAAATCCTCTATTTAACAACTCAGACCAAAATTGGTCAAAATATGCCCATTTTTATGATATTTCTCATTTTCAAGAGGGTGCAAATGGATTCTCAGGTTGGTGCAAGCCTTTTATCAAAATCTCAGGTGGGTGCTGCGCATACTATTCTTGTATATACCAGTAAGTATGTATATGGAATATTATGCATAGTCAAAATTTTAAACAATCTGTAGTCAAAAAGTGGCAGAGGCAGTAGTTAGTGGGAGGAGGGGGGGGGGGGTAAACAACAGCTTATCGCTAGACAAAATACATGAATTCTAGTTCATTATATACATTATATGCCCCACCTCTGATGGATAATCAAACACTAGTTATGTGTTAGCCTTGCCCAAGTCGGTCTCATTTACTTATCTTGATTTCTATTATGAGTAAAAAAAATACCGACTTGGGCAAGGCTAGTTATGTGTACACTGCGACATCTATTTAAACATTCAAGTCAATTTGCAAGCAAATCTACTTCTAACTCGAAAAACTTCAATCATTCGATCTCAAAAAATCTACAATTGACAAATTCCATTAAAGTAATATTCATTCTTCTAGATTTCAGATATGGATTTTCAAGATTCTATTCTTACATTGGGATTCTCAGAAGATCTACAGACACAACTTTTACAACTTTATAAAGACAATAAAACAGAAATAAGAAATATTTTAAAAGAATTGTCCATGGATTTGCCACATTACCACAACCTTGAATGGAGGTTCGATGTTCAGGTAATACTGTAGTACCTTTTTCAAAAAGTTAAACTTGTAGCACAAATTGATGAAGCTGAGACCAAAAAAAGAAAGATTTTAATTTATAATTCATGCCAGAAAGGTTTCTCTCTAAATCTCCCACCATGTCCTTCAACAAGATTTTAAGCTATAGTTGTTTTGTTTAAGTGGGTATTTATCTCATTGCAATGTTTGTTATCCCATCTGACAAAATTGGGGGAAATAGAAAATCCCTCTGTATGTACAGCTGTCTGTACCTGGCAGTAACTACCTTTGGCCAAATATTATTTTATTTTACATGCATTGCCCTATGTGAATCCAACTTCTGCTTATTACATGTAGCTATAGCCAAAGTCAAAAATGGATTTTAATACAAAAATCGATGATGCTGATAAAGTCCAAAAATTGATATTTTCAAAATTGGTTTCCATCTTGAAAAATGGTCATCATTACATTTTTGTTCCAAAAGTGAATGAATTTGTTGATATTTCATATTATTTGTGATAATTTATTTTTCAGCTTGCTAGTAGGTCACTGCGACACCAGATAAATCCCACGATTCTTTTTAAACTACATACAAAATATGGCGAAAGCAAAGAAACTACAATACTACAAACAGACCCTGTAAATCTAGTCCATCTCACAGACACTTTAGATCAAGCTCTGCAAGAGATTAAATCTGCCCATTGTCGGAGAATTCTCCGTAATATCTAAAATAATGAACTAGGAAGATTGTTGGTGTCATGATGGCTGTACATTATCATTATCAGTTTTGTAGCCACTATGTCCCTTTCTTGTAAAAGTTTATCCAGAATTATTCTTTTTTCGAGCCAGATTTGCTAAAAATTTGGCTTGAACTAATGCAAATAATTCAAAGTGGAGCCTTTTGGAAAAATGAAAAAATTGACAAGTTGTCACCTTCAACCAAATAAAAATTGACCACAGTCATTTTATTCATGGGTGTTTATCAGGCACTAAGGTAAAGTAAGGAATTGCTTTAAGCTTATTACAGGAAGACTCTATCACTCCCAAGAGTTTCTACATAAAACATATCAGTAATGGAACACGCCATAGGTCTAAGTACTTTAATCTACTAACTGTGATTGTTGCCTAATTTATCTTGTTATAAAGACGCCCTATCAAGCAAATGTTCCAGTCTTTAATTCAATAAGTCTCTCTACTGAGAATTGATTTTTGTTTAGTAGATACTTATAATGTAGGGTTCCTGAAGATCTGGAAATGTGAGCGGAATGTACTTCTATTTCCAGCAACTGGAAATAGCAACGAGGTGATTTGAATTTAGGCCAAAAAGCTAATAGACTAGACTGTTAGGAAATTTTCAAATACATGTAATAAAATATGTCAGGGAAAAATGTCAGAACTTCTGTATCAGAGCTGGAAAATTAGGTTAAATTGATAAAAGTAGCATATTTATAAGTTATTGATAGATACATGGATTATTATAGAGGCACTGTGTTAAATAAAGAAATCTTGAAATGAATATATTGTCTGGAAATGTTTGGGAATTTGCCAAGGGGGGGGGGGGGGGGGGGGTCAGTTTTCCAAAATTTCCAGGGGGGTTCACATTTGACAATTTTGGCCCAAATATGGCTAAAATTACTCGAGAAGTGCTCAAAATGATGAATAACTGCATGATTTTGAAAGACGGGCTATGGGCCTGGCCTTGCCTCAATTGGTGTAAGAAAGGCTACATTCTGAACTGATTGAAGTAATCCAGTTTCATGTACAAATCATAGCATCAGATCATGATGCCATGAACATGAAAATATGATGTTTTTGGAAGACAATTGTATTTTTATATAAATAAATATATAAAATGAAAAATAAATAAAACAACAAGAATCTTGAGACAAGTGTTAGTTTAGTTAGAAATAAGTTTCATTATATATATATATATCTTTTATTGACTCTTTAGATGTCATGACCTGACATATTAGTCATTACAAAATGAAATTTTACAAAAACTACACTACACTACACTACACTACACTACACTAATATATACAATTTATACAAAAAACTTGTTATTTACATATGTTATAATATACTTTAGGTGTGATGCATCCAAAATGTTAATCCCCAGGCAAGTTTAAGTTTTTGAATGATTTCGTAATAAAACTTCCAACTTGCTTTTGCACATATTTATCTTTTGAAGAAATTAACATAATGAATGTATTTTCAGGATCATGTTGATCAACATTAATTTTGCTAGTGATGTTGTCAAACAATATTCTTCTATTTTCTCTATGTATTTGGCATTTAATCATGAAATGAACCTCATTTTCTATTTCCCCACAAAAGTTACACAATCTTTCATATTCAGGTTTTGGCCGTGGTTTTACATGTCTACCCAGTTCTATTTGTAATTTATGTGAACTTAATCTCAGTTGTGAAATTGATTGCCTGTGATTTTTGTTTTGAAGGCTTAAATATTGTTCTCTTTCGAAAATTGTTTTGAATTTAATGTATGTTCTTAAAACTGGGTATAATTGTAAATCACACTTCCATTTCTCCTTATAATTTTGGTGCAATGTTTTAGTTAGATTCTTTTTGAATACATAGTCATCATCAACAACTTGTTCATTCCAAGTGCTTTCAAGATTACAATCTTTTAAAATATTATGAACCTTACTTGACCAAGTATTTTTAAATCCTAAACTGTACATTTCATAGTCATATAGATATGCTTTATAAAGGAGGTTATCTGGACAAAGTTGTATAAGCCGTATCCAATATTTAATAAGATTAATATCAAAGCACAAACTAAGGGGGAAACGACCCAGCTCCCCATAGACTGCTAGGGTTGCAGTTGATGTTTTCACACCAAGAATGCTTTTTAAAAAGGACAGGTGAATAGTTTCAAGTGACTTGATATGTTTTTTACTTGACCATATTTCTGAACCATACATCAAAATTGGTTGGACAAGTGAATCAAATAAATGTAAGGCAACTGATATGGGAATGTCATTAAACTTGTGATATTGTTGCTTTATTTTGAATAAAGCTTTTCTAGATTGTTCTTTAAGATAGCATATTTGTTTATCAAAATTATTTTTACTGTTGAAGATACACCCTAGGTATTTGTAGTCTTCTACACATGCAATCACTTCATTATTGAATTTAAAAGTTTCATCTGATTTAGAGTTAAAAATAATAGCCTTTGTTTTAACAGTGTTGACAACAAGATGATAATTTCTGCAAAAATCAAAGAGAGAGTCTAGCATAGATTGTGCCCCAGATTTAGAGCTAGCTATTAATACTAAGTCATCAGCCCAAAGTAGATGGTTTAAAGAAACACCTTCAAACTCTATACCATGTTCTGAGGGAAGAAAATCTTTCAAGTCATCCAAAAAATGGTTGAAAAGATATGTACTGAGAACAGAGCCCTGCATAACGCCAATTCCAGTATTGTACGTTGGAGTAATGCCATCTTTAAGTTTGAGACATGATTTCGATTTTTTATACATGCTATCAATAATTTTAAACATTTTTGAACTTGGATGTATCCCTGATTTACATAATTTATAAAGAAGTGCTGTCCTGTTGACATAATCAAACGCTTTCCTAAAATCTACCATTATACAATATAGAGGCTTTTTCTGCCTCTTAAAATGTGAAATAATAGTGTTTAAAATGAACAAATTATCTGTTGTACGGTGACCAGATTTATAAGCACCTTGTAATGGGTCTTGAATATTGAGCATTTCTGCATTGAACACTAATCTTGTTTGAATGATTGTATCAAAAACATTTCCTAGACAAGCAAGTACATTGATTCCTCTGTAATTATCTGGATTGAGACGTGATCCTTGTTTGTAAAGAGTGGAGAGCATACCGATACTCCATTCTTCAGGGTAATCTCCTCTATCAAAGATAAAATTAAATAGTGCAGTAAAATCTAATGATAGAGCTTTACAATTTTTAATAATATTAGATGGTAAGCCATCAATACCTGGTGATTTATTAGCATTAATTTTATTTAAGGCATTTAGAACCTCTTTTTCATGTATAACATTGTTAAGTAAATGATCACTAATTTGTAATGAATCTGTATATGAATTATGCATGTTATATTCCAATATAAAGATTTGCATTTTCACTAAAGCTTCATAATCAAAGAAGTCATATTTAGGTGCTTTACCAAGGTTTTTGAAAGTATCCAAAAGTACAGAGGTTGAAATTGGTATATCTCTGCTTTCATTTTTACCAGGGATTGAATGTACCATTTTCCAAAATTCTGTGGGATTATGAGCTTTAAAGTTTAATAATGATTTCAATAAGTCAGTTTGATATGCTCGTTTTTCTCTTTGCTTTGTCTGATTATATTTTTTCTGAATAATTGAAATTTCTAAGTCTGAATAATTTTCTTTAATTGCATTCCGTAATTGTTGTTTTAACATTTTACACTCATCATTGAACCAGGGATTAACTGGGAATTTCTTTTTAGACTTTTTAAGTTGCTTTAACTGCAGAGTGCTTTCAGATGCATGATAAATAACACGTTTAAGAACATTCAACAAGCTATTTGAATCAATGTTTTGTCCCATTTTACAATAAAAATCATCTAAAATATCACTGCTAATATTGTCATGAAGAATTTCAATAAAATTATCTTTTGCTTTAAAATCCCATTTAAAATATGAATATGGCAAAATGTTAGTTTTAACATTTTTATCTGACTGGGAAGTGCTTTTTGAATGCTTAATATTAAGACTAAAGTGAATTGGTGCATGGTCCGAGTCAGGATGCCTGTCATGAACCTTAAAATCTGAGAAAAAATTAAAGAGATCAGGTTGTGAAAGTACATAATCTAATACTGATTTCCCTTTGCTATTGTCTAAGTCATTTTGTTCCTGATATCGATAATAAGTGAATTTTCCAATACCTTTGTCTTGAAAAAATCTACCATTCAAAATCCTTAAATTGGATGATTTACATAAATTGATGAGTTCACGACCGTGAGTTTGATATACAGCTTTAAGGTTTTTATCCATTGAAACCCTATTAGAAGTAACCCCATGCGATGCATCTTGGTCAATATGATTATATGGTGTCAAATTTTCATCAGATCCACATACCAGAGTATTGCAGTCAGATAATTCTGCTGTTCGAGCATTTAGGTCTCCAACAATAATTGTATTGCCTAACAACTGATATAATGCAATTGATTTTTCTAAAATTTCCATATTATCTACATGTTCAAATTTTGAACCTTTATGTGGCATATATACAAAACAAATATAAATATCTTTGGCTAAATTGTAAAATGATGACTTGAGCTTTAGCCAAACAAAAAAGTCATGTGTTTGTTTAATCAATTCTACACTAGTATTGAATAATTCATCTTTTACAAGAACAGCTAAACCTCCTGAAAATCCATTGGAATTTGCATTTTTAGACTGTCGAGCAAGATTATGTACAGTAAAACCATCTAAAGTAAATGTTTCAAGTGGGTTTAACCAGGTTTCACATAGTAATACAATTGAGTACTTGCTAAAAAGCTCTTTAATGTCATACCCATTATGTAATTTATCTGATAAACGATTAATGTTCCACATAAGACATTTTAAGTCAGTTGAATTTTGATTTTTGTGGAATAATGAAACATCATCAGACGCTAAGAGCTTACTACATTCATGTATTAACTCATTGTTATTTGAAAACGTAATATCATTCTCACTAATTACAGAGCAACTATCCATCTTATTACTACTATATGTACAATCTTTTGAGTTCATCTTACTATATACAGTTAAACCTTCTTTTTTAACACTGATGCCTTTGTTTGTGCATAAATCAGCATCATCATTATTACAAGTCATATCATATGTACAGTTGCTATTATAATTCCAGGATGCATCACACACAGTGTCTATAATTTGTACTGAGCAGGCTGGTAGGTAGGGTTTTTACTTGAGAGGATACTGGCATATGTCTTGGGTATGTCACTGTTGATGCATCTTAGCATGGCCATCACTAGGGAAGTTCGTCCTTTTGGATTAAAGTGGAGTCCATCACGATTTAGCACATCAAAATTTGGTCTGCCAGCAGTTGAGTTGTTGGCTTGGTTAATATCAATAAATCCAATTCCCTGATTGTTACAGAAAGTTTTCATATTGCTGTTGATGTAATCAATGTCAGAGTTCATATTCTGAATGTGATGACTAGATTCTGAATCCCCTCTGTGGTGCAGTCCTGCCATGATCAGTTTAGAATTTGGATGATGTGATCTTGCTGTTTGAGCTAAGTGTTTAAGACTATAGATAATGTCATTTGGTGAATCTGTCTTGACATTGTTTGTTCCCAATCCAATTATTTTATAGTCTGTTGATTGCTTGATATCACCTCTCTGTATAGCCTGGACTCCATGCTCAATCCTACCACCGCTGTAGACTGAGGACGTAACATTCACACTTGGTGCCTTGCTCT